TCTTATTGGTGCATTTCTTTGTAACTTTTGTTCGATTTGGGAGCATCAATTGGTAGAGTTGGCTATGGTTTCTTTTTGAATAAGAGTTCTTTTATCTAGAAAAACTTATTCAATATTAAAGAAAAAGAACCTAGAAACGCACTGCATTAATGTTCTTTTTATTTATTTATTTATTTATTTGCTCTTTTTACTTCTGGATTAGAAGCATGCAATTGCTGTAACGAAGATAATCTGAGGGCTAAAACGAATTCCCGGGTCAAGTCATCTCTATCTAGGAGTTCAACTTTGATGAAACCTACAGCAAGTTACTTGGCCAAGCAAATCCAATCTCGAGCGGTTCTTTCCAAACAGTTTCAGAGAAGGTGTTACTCTATTGTAGTTAGAAACCATTTGATGCTGACATTGGTAGTTTGAACTCTGTTTTTATATAAATTCTGGCCCCAAATTCCAGGTTAATTTGCTACCGGAGACATGATAAATTAATGGTTTCTACTTGTTGGTTCCTTTACTTCACAGATTGCAAAAGTTTGATGATAAGAATATAAGTTCCGTTACTGATGGCAATGCTACCAAAAGACAAAAGCTGGAAGCTGGTTACCTATGCAAGGTGCACTCAATTATGTTGTCTGTTATTCGATTGGACCTCATTTTCCTTTTTGTGGTTCAAAGATTTTGCACGATCATTAGACCTCTATGATATATTATGGCCAAGAGTATTTTGTAACTGAAGCAGTGATTTGGATTATGATTTTGTTATCCCCCTCCTCTTTCATTTCTTCTTAGTTGTATATTTAATGCCATACGCTAGGGCTCTGCTCTGATTGTTTGTTTGACATTACATGTTATTTCCCGTTATTTTCGGTTTTTATTCTTAACTGCATGTATAGCTCAAAATTTATTTGCTAAACTTTGGATTGTGAACCTAGAAGATGTTCCATATACAATTCTAATTTTTGCAAAGCAGGTTGCTAATTTGAAGCATCAAGCTCTATTTGTGCACAAGAAACCTAAAAAGGTAAGTTGTAGAATTAAGAAAGCATTTTCCCGTTACTCTGACTAATATTCAACAATAATTTTTTTTTTCTTGTTGCTGACTACTTATGGCTTATTCAAACATGTCATCACCACATCTGCATGCGATCGAGTTAACATTATCAGCAGTGAAGTTTTCTAACAACTTTTAGCTTGTTATCCAGGTCCTATCCCTTGATGGTATCTCGGTATATGCTAAACCTAAAGTTACAATTCCGAGAGAACCAGAGTTACAAACAGCAAGAAGGGCTCAGAGACGTAGGTACTATTGATTTCATATCATTTTCTCTGTCATTCATCTTGAGATTAAGTTATTGTGCTTTGGCTATAAAGCTGATAGCCAAAGGTTGACAATTTCAGGTCTAAAGTTAAGGCACAATCTGACGAAAATGCAAAATCAAATGTTCATTTCTTTAAAGCACTCCCCCTGAACAAAAAAGTTGGTACTTTTAGTACATAAAATTTATTTTTACTTGAATTTTGTCGGAACATAAATTTTGAGAGAAGCTTCAGGTATATTTGATGTTGAATGTGTAATCTCAATAATTTCTTTGGGCTTGATAGATTCTAGAGGCTCCTTCATTGCCCCTTCCCAAGAAAAGCCTGCCTCAGCCGCCGGAGTTTCAGGTAATTGATAACCACAGTAACTTACTAGTCTGTCTCCTCTTACGATTGCCTTTCTTGTCATTGTCCTGAGAAATGTCTTGAGTGAACCTTGTCTGGATAACTTTATGACACAGATTTACTTTGTTTAATTGCTTTAGTTGTTTCACCTGAGGACATCAGACAGAGCCAGGCAGCATGCATCTAATAATGTGGGTTATCAAAATTTTATTTATAGAGCTCTCGTATAATACTTAAGTATTCTCTCAAAGTTTTAACTCTATTTGGCATCTACTACCTATCATTACTTTTTTCAATTGTTGGGACTTGGGAGTTAATAATCTCCTCTATGCAGGCAAGGAAAGTACCTAATTATGTTTCAACTTCAAGAAATGAAAACACTGGCCTTAGAAGGTAACGGTACTTTGGCTCTTAGCATCATCAGTTTTTGTTCTTCAAAGCTTTCGCATTACTTCCAGCACTTTTCTTTTTCTCCCATGGTGAATAATCGATTGGTTAATAGCAAATTCATTTTAATTCTCTCGATGCATGTATCCTTTAACTTTTCAATATATATCCATTGTGATGATTTCAATTGCTTGTTGAATTGGTTGTTTTCCTTCTCTTTTTGTGCATAGCTTCAAGTCTGTCAATGCATTAAAGGAGGAGAAATCTGAAGCTGTTAATAAATTTAAAGCTTGTCCTCTTAATGAGAAGGTTCTGCAAATATACTGGTTGTTCCTTTTTGTAGAGATTTATTTAAAAAAATAATTATCACATGCAGAACCATTTTGTTGGGTTTTCAGATAATTTCAAGTAGAGAAAATGGTATCCTCCAGAACATGAACGAAACAACAGCCACAATGGTAATTTACGTTAACTCCCTAAGTAGAGTCATATATTTTCGTTTGTTATTCAGAGATATTCTCTATTAACAGCAAAAGAGGCTTCACTTTCTCTAGGAATTCAAGTTTTTACCAAACAGGAGACTTTCAGATGAACCACCCATAGAACTATTCAATAAGGTATTACATCTTCCTTTTTCAGAGCTTTATTCAGGAGCAACCTATAGCCTAATTTAAAAGGCTTTCCAAATGAGCCACTGAAAAAGTTTTCAGAATAATTCATATATCAAACCACCCTTAGTAGAATTGCTTGATTTGCTGTTGATATGGGTGTGTTACTCTCTTGCATGATACATCCAGCTCTCGCTGTCTCCTGAAGTCCATTCTGATGAAAAGTCACAAGAAAAAATGGCTCTTTCTGAGGTTGGTTCCCTCAAATTTTTTATTTTTGGAATAAAAAATTTGTTTATACATCGTATTATTATTAAGTTCTTTCACTTGATGAATTAAGGGATTCAAAGAGAATGAACCAGGTCCTTTCCTTCTGCAGTGTCAGGTACACTAAATGATGTTTACAGGCACCACTTGATCACAGGACTGAAGTAATTTGATACATCTTCCTACCATTTCTGCATTAACTTTAGATTTAAAATACGCAACTTGTAGATTATGAACGTGGCCATAGAAAATTCGCAAAGGAATGGGGGGATGCAGTATCAGTGTAGGAGTAAAAGGACTACTGAAATTGCGCGACAACTGAACATTAATAGGTATAGCCAATTTTAGTCCCAGTCAGATTTGATATGCTTGATCATTGCCCTACTTTTATTAGCGTAACTTTGGTCTATTGTTTTTCTTCTCTTTTTCTGCTATAAACTCTTGGTTCCATGTTCAACTTTTGCCACTTTTTATATTTGAGAATAATGGCAGTGTTGGTTAAAGTTATGCCGGTGTTTCTAGTCAAGCTAGAAGGGATAAAGAATTAAACACAACTAGCCCGTTGTTAAAAAAATTGTCCTATTTTGAATTTTTGAAATTCTAATCCAGCTAAAACTTTTTACATATGAAACAGGTCAGATATGACTCTAGTGATGACTCAATTTTGGGTTGTTGGAATTTCTAGAAATAAGTCCACATAAACATCTGATGACTTATTTAGCCCAAGACCTTCTAACCTGACCAAGATGTCTTTGGTTGGTTGGTACATGAAAACGAAACACTTGCAGCTTATTGTCTTTGGCAGATAGGGTATCAAAACTCAAAAGAACTAGTTGTACAAACAGAAACCACCTTGTATAAAATTTCAGTTGCCAAAACCAGGGAACAAAATAAAAAAATGTTGACGAATCAAAAAAATGAGAGGGGGGTTATGCTAAATTCTTATACAAGAGAATCATAGAATACCTTTCTTTTGGTGGGAAAGGGTTTGAGTGTTCGAAATGAACATGATAGTCTTGAATTCGTCCATTAGCCCCGGTCTTTCTGATTTATGGTTGAAAGCAAATCATCTTTCTCTTCATCTCCCCTTAACACATCCATTCAGCTAGTATTTACATGGATATCTTTGACATGTTTCTCTATAGATACACATTCTGATGGATAAATGAATGTTTCATAGAACACAGCATTTTACGAACAAGAACATTATGATTTCTTGCATGTTGTCGGATAATATTCTCAATGGTTGCTGTCACAGGAGCTGGAGATTGGACATAATCTGAAATCCCTAGCCATTTTGGTGGTCATATTTGCTTTTCTTGCCCTTCGAAAGGCAAATTTTTGGTGAGAATTGAAGATACTTCTTTTTTAATAATGGAACGGTATTTATTCCTTAAAAAGAAAAGAAAGATTTTGAAGAATAGCAATGTACAGCAGTCTTAAAATTTTAGTTAGTTTTTGCAGTAATGCTTTTTCAGAAAAAATAAGTTACCAGAGCATAGCATAGGTAATTGTTGACCATAACGTACATTATGAAATCTGAAAAGTTATCAATGTTTTCTTTGTTTATCTAATGTTCAATCCGAGCAAACCAGAGAACAAAAGATTCTCCTGGACTGTCAATTCAGGGAATCTCTCCTTATTTTAAATTTGCAGGCAAAAGGCATGCAAAAAAATCACAAAGGGTTCTTCTTTTGAGTTCTGATCCCCGCCCCCACCCATCCCAAAAAGGAGAATGCTTTAAGTTCATATTTACACAATGCATGGATCATATTTACTCAGAGAGCCATGTCTGCAGTCTGCACCAATAAGAAGGCAATTGTAAAGAGTTTGATTCTGTAAATTTACCTTTAACAGAGACAACCCCCTACACAATCCCTTTGTCGCAAAGGGAAAAATGACGGGCTGTACCTTAAGGAAATTTGTTTGATCATGAACCTGAAAACAGAAACCATACAACCTAAATCCGGAATTTAGAAGACAGTTTGAAGAAAGTTGAGGACACAATTCAACGTGCAGAACAATTAAAATTACAAAGGAATGCAGTTGGAAGTAGAACCTTTTAAAGGCAATTTCCCCATAATCATGCATTGAGGAGTGATCAACTGATAAGTCCCGAGCCTAATATATAAAGCTTACACTGTACTTTGAAATAGACCAAGACAATTGACAGAACAAAACACACTCCTACAAATTTCTCAAACTGTTTGTATAAAAGGTAGCATAGAGTATCATCTCATAATTGGCTTAATTTCAAATAAAACATCCAAAAAAAAATCCCACATTGGTTGAACCTATGCTCATTTTACACCATCTGAGGCAGAAGATAGCTCCTCCAAACCAAAAACTGGATTCTATTTCATTAACTTTTGTCCTGTCTTCTTTCTGAATAAAAAATAATGATGGCTTTAAAGGGTGTTCTTAGATATGACTTCTTGGAACCGATCAAACCATTGAGCATCAGATGAGTTGGTCTCCTGCTGAACTCGCTGCTGTTGCTGCTCTAATAGCAATCGATGTTGCCCTTTGTTAATAACAAATTGGGCATAGTCAATGGACTTAGGTGGAGCTGAACAAAGTTTTGTGGGAGGAGCTGGAACTAGGGAGACCAAAACCCTGGCAACCTCATGCATGGTTGGTCTCTCAGTTGGGTAACGCTTTGTGCACAGCAAAGCAAGTTGGAGAGTCTTTCTGACATGGGCTAAATCCATGCATGTAACTGACACTTCTGGATCAACAGCTTCCATCACAGTATTATCATCAGCCTTAGACAGTATCTGAACACAAACTAAATATTAATTTTTGCAACAATGACTTTACTGATGTTTTAAGTTTTAACAGCATCTATCACATAAGATAAGCTAAAGACATTCAAGTTTCAAAATTTTCACAAAGTAAAACCCGATCGGATCCATTACTGCATCTTCAGCTATCATGTGGTCTGAAAAGAACCAGATAACCGACAACCGATATAAGGCACCAATCAAAAAGAGTTCATTGTCACATGGGCATTGAAGAAAAGGTTACCATCATCTAAATGAGTGAACTCCTTAAAAATTAAAAAAAAAAAAAAAACAGTAAAATCGACACAAACACCCCTAAACTTGTACAGATGAACGCATTCTGTACACTCTAATCAACCCAGCGCAAGAGCATGGTAAAACATAAATTTAATCATCATATAAGCATTAACACCATTTAACTTGGCCCCGGCCAGACTTTTATTGGTCCAGTATAGCTTTCACGCATCTATTTAGAAACAACTGACCCGATGTGAAAAACAAAAACTCACCAGTTGGTGCAAGTTCGATTCATTGTCCACAGCCTTTTTCCCTGTCAGAAGCTCTAGAAGAACAACGCCAAAGCTATAAACATCCGATTTTTCATTAAGTCGAGAGGTACGGGCATATTCCGGGTCAATATAGCCAATAGTTCCCAGAACATAAGTAGAGGCATGTGTATTTGTCGTTGGTATGCATTTTGCAATCCCAAAATCAGACAGATGGGCCTCAAAATTCTCATCAAGCAGAATATTCGAGGACTTGACATCTCTGTGAATAATTCGAGGGTTGCAATCATGGTGAAGATAAGCAAGGCCCTGAGCTGCGCCAACAGCAATTCTCAACCGTGTTTCCCAGTCAAGTTTTACTTTTTTTGATGGCCCTGTTGCATGTTAACTCACATAAATCAGCATTTCCTAAAGCAGAATGTAATATATAAAGTTACAGCTGGAGCAATTAAATATTTATATTGACTCTAAATTTCAGAATTTGAAACTACATCAAGTAATCTATCAACTTGGAAAAGATAAACAGAAGCTTAAGGTGTGTCAACTAACCATGCAAAAGATCCCACAGAGAGCCGTTCTCCATATAGTCATAGAAAAGGAGGTTCCCATATGGAGATAATGAGTAGCCATGCAAGCTGACAATGTTCCTATGCCTGATGCTGCCTATGGTTTCAAGTTCAGTCTCAAACTCCCTCAAGTTGTTTGCACACTGATTGTAGAGTCGCTTAATTGCAATTGGTCGGGAATTTTTCAACATACATTTGTAAACTGTGCTCGAAGCACCATACCCTATGATATACTTATCACTCAAATTCTCAGTGAATCTCATTATATCATCAAAGGTATGAATAGCCATATCCATGTGGAGAACAACTAGCTTTGGTGGGCCTGTGGGAAAAAAAACCCTGAGATTTGCAAGAATAGGAAAGAATATGTTGGTCAATGTTAAAGAAACACACATACCTTCCGCAGTTTTCATGGGTCCCTTCATCATTTGCTTCTGTTGATTGGACTTGTAAATCGCAACAATAAACATACCTACCAATGTGATGAAGCCCAAAGTCATACAAACAACTGCAGCCCTGGAGAAAACTGTTGGAGAATGGAATGCAAGAAAGCTTATTGAGAAAATATTCACTTAAACCAATGACATAAAAAGTACCCAACAAAAATCCCAAAAGCATTAGACCAATACCTCGAGACTTTGGCAGAGAGGGGCCACATATGATTCCCAGCCAATTGCCACATAGCAAAGGATTTCCAATGAAGCTGACAGCCACATAGAAATCAACGAAGGTGAAAATTTGAGAGGATTAAAAACAAGGAAGGATAGAACTTACATGAAGTTTATGGAGTTCTTCAATAAAATTTTGACGTGTCTAAATAGCACAGTCAACACATAACCTCAATCTACCTTTTTCTTAACCAGTATTTTTTTTCTTTTTATAAACCACTCATCTTTTTTTTTTTTTTCTTTTCCTTGTTCTGCAGCTAACCTCAAACCAAATCTTACTTCTTCACCTAATGCCCCATTAACTTTCTCTTTCTCTTGCTAATCATCTGATGATTAACAAACAACAAAGAGTCACAATAGATAACTGTTCAAGAGAATGTACATATAGCAGCACAGCTCCTTGTCTCTTCGAAATTTCTTAATGCTAATTAAGCATTTAGATGCTATAAAATTTCTTGGATTCAATTTTTCTTCTCATCACCAAATAAAGCAAAAAAACACAGCTAAAATCAAAACATTTAGCAGTCAAATAACAGTCACAACAAATTTGTTTCATTTTTAAGAAAAAAAATAATGTGGATAAAAGATGCATGTTTTACTGGTCAAGCAATGGCAGTGATTTGGTGATTTCAACAACTAAGCTAGTGCAAAACCAAATCTAATGTTGATGGATTCTTAAAAAATTTAACAGAGAAAGAGCAATTTCAGTGATGATTCCTGAGAGTTGCGTTAGGTCTGCAAATTTAGGTGTGAGTGCAAGAATTAAGATTTTGTTTTTGTTAAAGTTCTCAAAGTTAAATTGTAGAAATCTTATTGTCCTATTTTAGTGTAGATCTGATTCTCCTACATTAGTACAACTTGATTTCCTAATTTATTTTAAGAATATTTCTCATCTATTCTTTTGATTTAGTCAACTATTCTGATTGTCAAGTTTTGAGAGATTTATTTCTATTTTAGAATAGAATAATTCTCCTTAATTTTATTATTTTTTGTTTTTTGTTTCATGTAAGTTGTTTCCTAATAAGGTACTTCACTGTTCCTATTTATTTAGAGGTACTCCTTCAATGTACATTTAATAAGAAGAAATAAAGTCAATTGTTCTTTAAGTTTCCTACAACAAATTCTTTAAGTTTCTTACATGGTATCAAAGCAAGTCCACCTAAACCATAGCCACACGAGTTTTCATTATGACTAGCAGGAGTGAGAACTCTTCTTCTGCAGAGGTATGGGCATGAGTAAAGTTACAAAAAGGTGATGCTCCAACAAACCCTTCAAAACAAGTCTACAACCTTTAGAACTAATTTACTAGCACAAAAAGGTAATTTCCTAAACGCCTTAAGTTTTCAACGAGTAAACACACAATCTTGGATTGTTGATTCATGAGCATCAGATCACAAAACTAAGGATGCATCTTTATTCAACACATATAGACCTTGCTATGATAGCTCTTCTGCAAAAATAGCTGATGGCTCTCTCTCAAGGATGGCAGGAACAGGGTCTATTGTAGTTTCAAAAAACATAACACTCCACTCTGTCTTTCATGTCCCTAATTTAAGTTGTAACTTATTTTTGATCAGTAATCTTGCAAAGGATAGATGTTATGTCACTAAATTTTTTCCCAACTTGTGTGAATTTCAAGAATTGAGCTTGAAGAGGATTATTGGCAATGCTAGGATGTGTGCAAGGCTTTACCTTATTCAAGATGATGCACTTGAAAAACCACAAAACCCTTGTACAACCTTAGCCTCTAGTACTGGTAAGGATGACCTTATCATGTTATAGCATTATAGATTAGGACATTCAAATATTTCATACCTAAAAAGGCTATTTCCCTCATTATTCAATAAAATCTCTAAAGATTTTCAATGTGAAATTTGTTAACTATCCAAACACACTCAAAATACCTACCCTAGCCTTTTCTATAAATCATCTCAACCTTTCTCAATGATTCACAATGATTTGGGGACCATCAAAAGTTAACAATATCATAGGTTCCAAGTGGTTTGTTACATTCATCAATGATCATACTTGACTCAATTGGGTATTCCTTATGAAAGGAAAATCCAAAGTTATCCAAATCTTTCAAAACTTCAATAGCATGGTACAAACCCAATTCCAAGCCAAAATCCAAGTCCTAAAACCTGACAATGGAAGGGAATACTTCAACTCTATTCTCGGCCCTTACCTCACGAAGCATGGCATTATCTATCAACGCTCTTGCATTGACACTCCACAACAAAATGGGATTGCCGAACGCAAAACCAGACATTTGATAAAATGTGCCTAAATATTTATAGGGAGAAGCTGTCGTCACTAAAACTTCTTTGGTTAACCGAATGCCTCATCGAGTTCTTGGCTTTAAAGCACATCGTCAAACTCTCCTTGCTTCCTACCCACAATCTTGGTTGATTTCTTCCTTTCCCACCAAACTCTTTGGCTACATTGCTTTTGTTCATATTAGCCAACAAAACTGCAGCAAGCTTGATCCCAAAGCCTTAAAATGCATCTTCCTTGGTTATTCCCTAAACCAAAAGGGCTATAGGTGTTACTCACCCATCACAAAAAAATCCTATAGCTCTATGAATGTCACTTTTTTTGAGAATCTTCCGAGCTATAGCAAGAATGACATTCAGGTTGAGAATACTACTTAAGAATATCAGTTCTTAGCTGTTGACTTGCCAATTTCCCAACCAATCCCTTCAAAACCATATAATCCAACCAAAGAGCATCTCAAAGCTGTTCATCGCATCCTACAGTACTTAAAGAAGATTCCTAGTGAAGGTTTATATTTCAAGAAGTCAATGGACAGGGCAGTCGAGGTATACATAGATGCCGGCTGGGCTGGATCAATAACAAATAGAGGGTCCACTACGGGATATTGCACTTATGTTTATGGCAAATTGGTCACTTGGAGAAGTAAAAAGCAAGCTGTCATAGCTAGAAGCAGTGCTGAGGCTGAGTTTAAAGCAATGTCCCATGGCATTTGTGAAGAAATTTGGCTGATGAGGTTACTTGGAGAATTAAAAATTCAGACTGTGACATCTATGACACTGTTTGTGACAATAAGGCTACTGTAAGTATTGCCAAAAATCCCGTTTATCATGATAGGACCAAGCACATAAAGCTGGACCGACATTTCATAAAGGAAAAGATAGAAAATGGGTCTGCCAAACTGGCCTATATCCCTACAAGTTCACAAATTGCAGATATTCTGACTAAAGCTTTTCCTAGAAGCATTTTTGACAAATTAAAATCCAAGCTGAGTATGATTAACATTCATAACCCAACTTGAGAGAAAGTGTAAAAATCTGATTCTCCTACATTAATGCAGCTTGATTTCCTAATTTATTTTGAAAATATTTCTCATTTACTCTTCTGATTTAGTCAACTTTTTAAGGATTTATTTCTATTTTAGAATAAAATAATTCTCCCTCTTATCATTTTTGTTTTCTGTTTCATGTAAGTTATTTACTAATAAGGAACATCACTGTTCTTATTTATTTAGATGTACTCCTTTATTGTAGATTCAATAAGAAGAAATAAAGTCAATTGTTCTTTAAGTTTCTTACATTAATTACAAAACAACAAAAGAAAAAAAAAAAAAAAAAGAAACAAGATGGAAATGATCAGGTAGCAGCAAAAAAAGGAAGATAAAGATGTAAGGTCTCGGTTTTCAGTTTTTTTTTTTAAATATTATGGGTTAGCAGCACCTGAAAGAAGGTGAAGCAATGGAGAAGTAAGCGGTAAATTGATATTATGTGCTAACTAAGCTATATAGAGAAATGTTAAAATTTTATTGGAGAACTCCATGAACTTCATGTAAGTTCTACCCGAACAAAGAATGTAATTTATACCTGTAAGGTGAAAATCTAGTGAAGTTTCTTATGGGAGGTATAATGCCAGATAAGTTGTTATAAGAGACATTCCTGTGCGCATAGATATAGACATTCAGTAACAAGTCTAAATATACTTACGAAAAAACTAACGTGGAAAAGAAACAGATCAAAAACTTACAGATTAGCAAGACTGAAACAATTAGTCAGCTGCTCTGGGATTTCACCTTGCAGCTTGTTGTTGTTCAGTATTCTGCCATAAAATCCCATAATGGCATTATGGCTTCACAATCTATAACTCCCAAACTTAAAATTCTTCAACAAGCATGAGAAATTTACTTACAGGGAAGCAATATTTTGCAACTGACCCAATTCCGCAGGAATGTTGCCAGAGAAACTATTGAAAGATAGATCACTGAAAAGGAGTGATGAAAATTAAAAAGCTAATAAGGGGCAACAAACGAATATTGACCACCGCCTTAAAGCCACAATATAAGCTCACATGATTTGTACGCTTCTGAGATTCCCACACTCGGGAGGTAGTGGTCCATCAAGTCGGTTGCTACTCAAATTCCTGCAATTGTAAAAAAATAAACTCAGGTACCATAACATTGATGAAATAACACAGATAGGTAAAAAATCAGATCAGTGATGAGCTCACAAGGTAAGAAGATGCTCAAGATCACCAATGGAACCAGGAACAGACCCCGAAAATTTATTGCCAGAAAGATCCCTGAAAAGACAACAGTAACACAAAGACATTCAATTTTGAAGGCCAAGACTCATCTCTCAGATAAAAAAGAAAAACAGTAACCTTATTTGATGACTTACAATGTATCAAGATTTATGATATGCCCCAGTTCAATGGGCATCCGACCTTTGAAATCATTCATCGATAGATTTCTAGAAATCAATTACTAGCTAATTAGATCATCGTTTATTACTGATGAACAAATGCTTTGAATCCACCACATTAAAAAAACTTACAGGTAAGTTAAGCTTTCGAGATTTCGGAAGCCTAATGGAATAGAGCCATTATGGCGATTACCGTGCACATTGCTGAAAGATAAATTTAACCAGCCAAGTCAGTTTTAAGATTTAAATAATAAGCTTTTAAAAATTCTGACATTCAATTGATATCTTACAACTGATTCAGGGCCTTGCAGAAGCTGATGTTATGTGGAATGGGTCCTTCCAAGTGATTGTTGGCAAGATTCCTAAGAAAATAGTGACAAATTGGACAAATAACGGCAGCAAATGAGAATATGCATTGCAAATTAATTAAAACTTACAGTTCAAACAACTGCTCCAGCTTCCCAAGTTCAGCAGGGATTGTATCGACTAGCTGATTGTCATTTAATTGTCTGCAGGATAATTAACTTAGTGGCATACCCCATAAACATCATACGAGGAAATGCTGCACATACATAGCTACAATTACTGAATAGAAAGGAACGGCAACTCACAAGTAGCTAAGTTTTGACATATTGCCCAGCTCTGGTGGAATTGGGCCAGTAAGCTTGTTTCCATGGAGGTACCTGGCTCGACAAACAAATAAATAAGCATACAGAACACATAAGTAAAAGTATGCTCATTAAAGTTCTTCAGCAATAATAACTCACAATTTTCCAGTGTATGATAAATTGCCAAGTATTCGTGGAATAGGCCCAACTAGTTCATTCTCACTCAAATCCCTGGAGAAAAAAAGGATCAGAACATGTTTTTGCCATGTAATACAACAAGCATAAAACAGAAGCTATTAGGAAACAGATTATTCAGATTTTGGAAATTGGAATACTTACAATACAGCAAGGGCCTGCATTAAACCAATTACCTCAGGAATTTTCCCTGTAAGCTTATTTCCTTGAAGTGACCTATCACAAGTAAGCCTATTCAGATTTTTGTGGATATACTATACAGATTCCCAAATCTGCAAGTAGCTATGCACATCTACAACAAATTTCCAAGGATCGAAATAATGATCATGCATAAGCTTTAAAAGAAACTTACAAAGTCGCAACTTGTAAGAAACCAATATTATATGGTATCTCCCCACTAATCTGATTATAAGAAATATCCCTAAAATTGCCAATCAATAAAGGTTAAAAATGGAGAACTACGTTCCAAAAAAATAACTCATGTCCTCAGAGGCGTGCAACTTACAAGATTTCAAAACTAGTACAGTTACCAATGCTGTCCGGGATTCTACCAGTTAAATCATTTCCCCTGACATCACTGAAAACAATATATAACATGATTTATATCACTGAAAACATGATCTAATAGGAGAATTGAAAACAAGAGTAAGAAACTACACTATCACAAGAACTTACAAATACCACAGGCTAGTCAATTGACACATATCAGGTGAAAGAGATCCAGTCAACATATTGCCCCGCAATCCACTGTAAAAGGTACTCCATACCATGTGAGGATAAGAACAAGTTTAAAATTTTCAATAATACATACTGGTATATGGTCACCCCAGCGAGTCAAATTTTAACACTTAGTAATAAAACAATAAGAATGGCAATCCTGAACAGACTTCCTAAGAAGGATCGACTGAATTCTCGGGGATCATGACTGATGGAGGATGTGTATTATGCAAACAGGAGGTGGAAACTCAAAACCATATTTTCTTTAGCTACAGCTATTCTAAAGCAGTGTGGACAAAAGTGCTGAGGCTCTGTAATCTGCAGAGACATCGTTGGATGGAAGGAAGAGTTCCAATGGGCAATGGAAGACTTCAAGGGTAGGCTCTGCTATCCTATTAAGATTAGCTTGGGGAATATACATTTACCTGATATGGAAGGAAGGGAATAAAAGGCAGCTCAATAAAGAAGAAGGTGCTGGTGAGCAGCTCTCAAAGCAGATCAAGGAAATGGTCAGACTCAGATTGATGGGATTAATCGGGTCAACAGGAACTTATATAAGAGATGGGACTTATGTAGAGAGAGTTTCATTCCGTAATTCTTGTGCAATTAGCATTGGTTGTACAGTTGATTTGTAGCAGTGCTCACTGCTCCTTGGATAATAAAATTACAATTTATGCAAAAAAATTAATAGTTGTTAGAATTTCACCATGTTGTAAAGGTTTTAGTAACTACAAAAAGGAGGCCACTGATTTGATATTCAATTGGCTACAGTGATGGCACCGATACTTACAGATACTGCAATACTTCATTCCAATAAATTAGCCTGGGTATCTCCCCCGTAAGCTGGTTTCTTGCTAGATCGCTGAAAGTACAAAATCCAGCAGAAACTTATAGCAAACCTTTCAGCTGTAATAAGCAGCTAAGATTATCATACACAGTGATGGAATAATGTAATGAACTCACAGAGTTTTCAGGTTAGGAATCTGAGTTAATGTTGAAGGAATAGGGCCATTTAGCTGATTGTTCTTCAAATTCCTGAATGAAGGGTTCAAACCGTGTCTTTTAGTAACAACTGAATACATTGATTTAAACAAGACAGGATATAAACAACACTTACAAAAATTCAAGCCGCTTGAGTTTAGATATGGAGAAAGGTATGTCTCCATACAACATATTGTCAGATAAATCCCTGCATTATGCAGTAGAAATAAAACATGAACAAACAAAACCCCAGGAAGACTTGAGCAAATAAACTTAAAGACCATAAGCCATTGAGGAATTACAGGTAAGAAAGAGAACCGCAATTTCCGATCTCATCTGGGATTTGTCCAGTCAATTTGTTCCCCTCCAAGTCTCTACCGTATTAGAAAAAAATAAAACGCTCGTGAGATTATCAGCAAGCTACTGAAATGCCTCAAACTGAAAAATCACAGAAACAAGACATACATGGACTGCAGGTTCCTCAAATCACCAATGGCTGACGAAATCTCCCCACCAAGGATCAAATTTGACAAGTTCCTTGAATCAAGAAACCAAGAAGGCACCAAAACGAATCACAAAAGAAACCCAGTTCAAACACTTATTTTGATAACTCAAAATGGAGTTAAACCACGAATCACACAAACTGAGCTAGCTAACACTGACAAGAAATTGTATAAAAAAATCAAGGGAGAAACTCACAAGGAAACCACAGAAAGGCTGACATTGTCACAGAAGACACCACGCCAAGAACAAAAATCAGCATTGTCGACATCATCCCAGTCAAGCAGCACATTTGCCACGTTGCTAAATGACGCCTTTATGGACATCAACGCCTTCCCTGTAACCGCCAATAGTTATCTTCTATCATGTACTTTTACCAGGTAGTGGAGCACAACAGTTTCTAACGGCAGAACATATAGTATTTAAAGTTACGACTTCCCTAAGGACGATCAAATCAATGAGTTAAAACTATACTATCTCCTTCGCCAAAGGGATTCCATTCTGACTACAGCTAACGTTAATGACAAAGAACTTGAGAAATACTTGAACTCTTAGAGAATGTTAGTTCTCAGCAGTCTGCTATAATCGTGGAAAAAGGACTTTATCACCGAGTTCTTTGCTTTTTAGCTCCAAACGAAAAAAGTGTAGCTTGAATTTTAAAGTTCGGGCGATGAGGTTCACCAAATGCTACAGTTTTAAAGCACTTTTTACACAACCTACTACAGTAAAAAAATTCAGGAAAAGGAAATCAATAACCAAAATGATTCAGTTCTCAAATGTATCAACCTTTTGTGCAACAAAACAACCACTATAATTTCCAAAAATAGAACACTGAGCTCCAAATGGATAAAAGAATACGAAAAGCTCGAAAGCTACATTCACCAACTAAACCACCCAGAGAAAAAAGGTACCTTCATCATTGAGTGAAGAAGCAATAGGACAAATAACAAGAAACACCATCGCCATTACTAAAACCCCATAAAGCTCCTTCCTTTTCTCCCTCTTCTCCAACAACACCCCTTCCTCCATTCTCACCTCCAGCAACACTGCAACAAACCCAGAACGAAAACCCCAAGAGAAAACGAAAAAATAGAAGAAACTTGCCCACGACACAAAAGAAGAAAAAGCTTAAAAGCTTGGGTTCAGTGTAGAAACAGAGAGAGAAGAAGAGAACAGGCGTCTAACGTGAACTGCAAGGAAGTGATGAAAGGGAGAAATGTTAATGAAGAGATAGAAAAACAGAGTAAGCTCTCTCTCTCTCTTACTCTACAGACAGCCTGTGAAAGACAGAAAAAACTGCAACAAAGTATCGAAGGATATTGTAAACGGCGGTGAAGCGACGTTTAGAGACTTCACTCAGAAAAATCCATGCTAATGCTATTACTCAAAATTGTAAATTACTAAAATATAAAAAAAAAATGCCATTTTATTTTTTTTTATTGGTAGAGAAATTCAGACTCGGCCGTCATTTGTACTACTGTTTCCAAAAGTGGTTGCATTTTTTGACAGCTATATCCCCCAGCGAATCACTCACTCTCTTTCCTTCATAAGCCTGAGCGCGTGGGATTAATCGACGGCATTAATAAGGGTTATGATGAGGTTTGCAGCGCAAGCGAAAGGGAGGGAGAGTGAAGAAACGTTGTCGTACGAAGGGGGAGTAGGGAGGGATGAGGCGTGCTTAAATGCCTTGTCAGTGATAACGGAACAACACCATTTGGTTTTGGTTGGATTTCAAATTCAACTGTCAATGGGATCTTGCTTTTCCATCCCCTATCTTTTGCTATTTCCCCGGTTATCCTTTTTTGTTCCGCTGTCGTCGTTGCAATTCAAGCGATCGAGAACTGAAGCCTTTGCTCTGAAGAGGGTACTGTAATATTTAATTACCCTTGTGGGCACATTGTCATGCGTATATACTTCAAACAAACAAACATCACCATTTTATCATTTTTGTTTATTTATTGTCGTATTGTATTAAATCAATTCTGAAACTAATAAATACAGTTTTTAATTTCAACATTCATGAGAAGAATTATTTGTTGGATACTTCCAGCTCGAACAGCTAAAAAAGCCAACTTTTCTAACAGGTTTAGATTAGGCCCAATGGTCAAAGTTTTATCTCTCCTTTTATTGGTATTATTGGATTTTGTTAACTATTGTTTTAAAATTATAATATTATATCATATATATTTTAAAAATTATCAAAATTTATTAATTATTATATTTACTATATTGTAAATAATAATTTAACTAATTTTAAAAAATATTTTTTTAAAAGAAAGCAAATGTTTATAAAAAGAAAAGAAAGATGATGAGATTAAAACTCACAATTACATAATTTTTTTTAAAAAAATTTTAACTATCAAATCAAGATTGGAAAGATAAAATTTAATAGTTGAAACTTGATAATAAAATTTCAAAAATTGTGTACCTAAATCCAAAATTCAATAATTGATGATTTCACTAACTATATGCATCTATGGTCCTCCTAAAGTCTAACCCGAGTCAACGTTTTAGATCATTAGTACGTCCACCATCCTCCGTGCAACTATAAACACGTAAAAGATTGATTGATTGTTTGTTTCCTTTAATTTAGATGATATATTATTATTATTATATAAAAAAAATCTGATTACACTTTTCCTGCAGTCTGCAGCCAAAAACAAATTTGTTCGTTTAAAGCTGCTCGTGCTGCCTTCCTAATTCTACACAATCTTCAGTTGCTTTTTTGGATTAGACGGAGTTTTTTTTGTTTTTTTAAATTGGGTATTCATTGGGATTGGGTCCCACGTTCTTCTAATTCATGGTTCAAAATCCCAATATATCCACACTCATATCTGATTCTGTTTTGTAGGTTTCCAAAGCCCAGACATGCCTTTTTCCATATTTGAAATTACTGAAAAACCCTCAAATCCAAATTAATCTTCTTTTTTTTTTTTAATAAAAAGAGATCCAGGGCATAAGTAACGTTTTCTTTTCCTTAGATCCAAATCACGACCTAAAACGAAGAAGCCGTTTAGTTGCTTTTCAGTTAGTTCAGGTAGCCGAGGCGCTGCGACCACCATCCCATCATCAAGAACTAGGAAATCACGTGGCGAAATTATAGACCACCTAGTATGAGGTCCTAGAAAGGTGATAGCTGAGCTGAGCTGGTGTAGCTGCAGCAGTAGGGGTAGGGGCTGAGCCAGCAAGGCGTTAGAATTAGCCAAATAAATTAAAAGGTTGAAGTAAACGGACGCCGGCGAACGCCGTCAGATGTAATGCCGGCGAGACAAAGCCACGTGGGGCTCCCCTCCTGTCCTATCACATTGCAAAGACACAAAAAGGAATTTAATATTGGGTCTCCAAAAGTTGAGATTGATGTGATTTAGATGATGAGTGTACTAGATTTCAAGTTCGAATATTCGCTCTCTTCTTTTCCATATACGGCCCATCAAAATCAAACTTGCCCAACCATCGAATAAGAAGGCAAGAGGAAGGATATTTTGCATTTTTTTTGGACTTTTATCTTTTTAATATTTATGTAAATTTAAATTAAAATACATTTTAGCTTGTTAATATATAAAAAAAACTGTTGTATTTATTATTAATTAATTTTATATTAGATATTCATTTAAAATTTTAATATAATATTAATCCCATTCATTAGTCTTTTTGTGATAGATTAATATCTTTATACTTAAAAATTCATGTCATATAATAATTTTATTGTCCTAAAGATAATATCAAAATAATGATAAAATAAATTTTATATTTATTAAATTAAAAAATAATTAAAAAATATATAAATATAACAAAAATTACTTCATTTATAATTAATTAATTTTAAATTAAATATCCATCTTAAAATATAAGAATTGATCCTATCTACATTACTATATTTATTAATATTTTTTATTAAATGGAATGTAAGTTAAATTTTTAGATATGTATACGAGATTTTGTTTGGTAGAATTTAAATGAAAATGATTTTTTGGAATGGTACACAGTAGACTGAAAAAGAAGGTCGAGCAGTCAAACGGTCAACCTGAAGACCAGAAGCAAGACATTATAGTTGTTAGGCAGGTACGCATACATCAACGAAATTTAAAAAAAAAAATTAATTAAAAAAGAAAAAGGAAAGAAATGGGAGAGTGGGAATTATAACTATACCCGTCATAGGACCCGTGATCATTACTTTTAGCATACGCTCCATTTTTTTTTTACACAGCCGAGATTTCAAGACAAAGTTGGGCGTCTACATGAATAACTTTGGGCGTGATATTGAATTTTCTGTCATCTGCATTTCATTACATGATATTGAATTTTCATTTTGAAATTCTATATTTCCATTTTGGAGCAAATGAAATGATTTTCTTATGAACATTTACTTAAAAAAATTTCATTATGAGCATTTATTTTTGGCAACCCTGCAGCATAATATATACATATACCCATCTTTATCTCTTTAATCTCCAACTTTCAAATTTCAAGTGCATTTGAGTCCTTTAAGTTGAAAGTATTCTTGTAGATCTCATTGTTTAAATTTTGTTAACTCTAATTGTATATATCAAACTATCAATCCTAAATTTGGATCAAACAAAAAAGATTATGATAGGATGACAACTAATATAAAACATAATAAAATCATGATAAAATATCAAAATAAAAATTTTTGTTGAGTTGTCACCTCCAACATCACACTATATATTAGAATTCGAATGTAATGATAAACGAGCAAGAGTTGTTAGGTCATTGCTCGAAAGTGACATAGCACATTTTCATCCTATGTGGTGTCAAATAGACAAAAATTCTTGTGTTTTAATGGACAAATACAAATAAAGAAGCTAGTTCATGGAAATAAATTATGCTTACCTACTTTGAATATAGGATCATTAACTAATAAGCTAATAGAGATAGGAGAGATCATAACTCGGAGAAGAATTAATATTATATCTCCAAAAAAGCTAATTAGGTAAAGGAAAATGCTAGAGAAATAAAAAACATTGGATTTGGTAAACAGGTCAAGATAATAGTAGAAAATGGAGTGGGAATAATTATATATAAGAATTTAAAAGATGATGTAGTTAAGGTTAAAATAAAAAGAAATATAATTTTACATATTAAACTTATTTTATAAGAAGAAACAATTAATGTCATTAGTGCTTATATCCCACAAATAGGTTTAAATCAAACGAGTAAGAAAAATTTTGATAAGATTTAGATAAAATAGTGTAAGCCATAACAAACGAAGAAAAATTATTTATTGGAAGAGATATGAATAGTCACGAGACAGGAATTGTAATGACTTTGAAATGATACATAGAGGACATGACTTCGAAGAAAGAAATGATATCGGAGATAATATTTTAGTGTTAGATATTGCATTTGACCTAACTATATTATATATGTGTTTTACAAAAAGAGAATTATATTTGGTGACTTTTAGGAATGGATCAAATACTAGTCAAATTAATTTTTTTTACAAGGAAAGATGATAGAAATAGTTATAAGATTGTAAGATTATATTGAGTGAGAGTGTGATGATACAACATAAACTACTAGTTTTAAATATCTTTCACCTCTAAGGGTTAAAGATGATACATTAAAGTCATGTACCATGTATTAAGTTATGGAACTTAAAGCGGATAAAATATTAGTTTTTGGGGATAGATTGGTAAAAGAGATTGATTAGAAATTTGATGATAATGTAGAAGTAATGTGGGATAAAATTTTAATCAAAATTCATAAGGTTGCTAAAGAGACACTTGACAAATCTAAAGGTTTGCATCATTAGGAAAAAAATCTTGGTGGTGGAATGAGGATGTGAAAATAAAATTAAAGCTAGGCAACAATGTTATACAAATTTAAAAGCAATAGGAATGAGACGATTTATCTGAAGTATATGGTAGCCAAAAAGGAAACCAAAAAAGTTATTTGAGATTTAAAAATTAATATCCATGAGGAATTATATAGAAAGCTAGAGATAAAAGATGGAGAAAAAGAATATTTCAAAATTGCTATAACGAGGGATAAGAAGAGTAAAGATTTTAATGATATAAGATGCATCGAAGGCGGTGACAAAACAAATTTAGTTAAAAATGAAAAGATTAAGATGCGATGAGACATTATTTTGATAATCTCTTTAATGATAATTTTAAGCATGATATAGATAAACTTAATATATCTTTTAAAGATATAAATCATACGTTTAAATGTAATATTAAAAGGTATAATGTTAAATAAACTTTAATAATGATGAAAACAAAAAAGCTGTAAGACCAGATGAAATCCCGATTGAGATTTAGAAATACTTAGGTGAAATAGGGATAGAATGATTGACAGATCTTTTCAACAAAATTTAGCATACTTAAAATATGCCAAAAAAATGGAAGAAAAGTAATCTAATACATTTATACAAAAATAAAAGTAATACAAAAAATTATTCAAATTATCAAAGAATAAAGCTTATGAGTCGCATCATAAAAATTTAGAATAAGTAATTGAATGTAAGTTGTGACATGAGATCATTATTTCTAAAAATCAATTTTAGTTTATGCCAAAACATTCCACAACAAATGTAATTCACCCAATGGTAAATTCATGATTTCAAGTTAAGCGAGGCCACATTAATTGAAATTTGAGATTTAAATTTTGTCTTAAATTTTTTTTTTTTGAAATTACAACTATAAATATTATATATGTATTTGAGCGTTTGAAAACTGTTAGGGTGGCTTTAGCCCCTCAGGTTCTGACGTGGCTTCACCACTGAATTCATCTATTGAGATCTTTGTTGGATGGTTTTCAAGTGAAAAAGAAATATCTATATATAGTACTTATCGATTTGGAGAAAACATACAGTAGAGTTTCTCAAAAGGTACTTTGGTGGATCTTAATGAAGAAAAGAGTTCTTTTAAAATACATTATCATGGTTAAAGATATATATGAAAGAGTTGTAACGAATGTAAAGATATTTGAAGCTTGATCGGTAACTTTCTCATTACCTCAAGATTGCTTCAATGCTCAACACTAAATCCATTTCTTTTTGTATTAATTATGGATGAGTTCACTGGACATAGCTAGGATAAGATGCCATAGTGTATGTTATTTACCGATAATATAGTCTTAGTTGCTGAAACTAATGATGGTCTTAATGCAAAATTAAAATTATGAAAGTATACGTTAGAGTTTCAAGACTTTAAATTGAGTAAAACTAAAATTAAATATATGAAATGTAAGAGCATAGGAAAGCGAGTATTAATATGATTACATTTGATGGTGAGATAGTACCAAAGTATAATCATTTTCAGTATTTAGGATTAATTAGTCAGAGCAATGCTGGGACAGAAAATGATATAAAACATAAGATTTAAGCAGGATAAGTTAGGTGACAAAATGCATTGGTGTGTTGTATAATCGCAACATGCCCTTAAACTTAAAGGCGAAACTATATAAAACAACTACTAAGAAACAACATGAAAAGAAAATGAGTGTAGCTTAGATGATGATATTTAGATAGATATATGGTAAAACTAGAAAAGAAAATAAAAAATTGAAGAAATTCAAAAAAAATTAGAGATAGTTTGAATTGAAAGAAAGATAAAAGAGAATTGTTTGAGATGGTTTGGACATGTGAAACATAAGTCAATCTATGCACTAGTTAAAAGAATTAAGCTTTTGGATTTAAGAGAGACCAAAGCTTCTATAGATAAATCACAAAAGATATGGATGCTAATAATAAGAAATAATATGAGGGTTAAGAAAGTAGATGAAAATATTATTTTTTTATAGAAATGAGTGACCTAAGAAGATTCAAAACTACGACCTACATGATTCTTTTTATGGACTTTCATACAGCTAATCCCGGAATTATGAAATATAAGGCTAAATTTGTAGATGTACCCCATAACAATGTAATAATTTATTTTTATAATATTTGAAAATCCAGGCTTTATCAACCTGGTCTTTTAAAGTCTAATGATCCATGGTCACCTTAGACATATCACAGCCTAAACCATTTGGTAATAAACAAGTTTGCTACTTAGAAGATTGGAAACTTGGAGTCAAATACTACAACTTTTTGAACTTCAGATAGTGGACATGAACCTGACTTCGCATTATGAATCTATGTCCAAACCATAGCATGTTCATACAACACAATAACAACTGTAAACAGTCTCAACGTTTTAATTGCAAGGCAAAAGACATTTCCAACACATTGATATTGTATCCTAGATTACATTTGCTGTAAGTAATCTGAAAATTGAGAGTGTGTTCATGTAAGAGAAGGAAATTTCAATGTTTAACTTACAAACCATCCTTATCTCCCTCAAAAAAAAACAAAAAAAAACAAAAAAAGGAAAGGAAAAGAAAACCTCTTAACATGGCATGGCAGGAACTTATTCCTCCTCATGCCTATGTCGTAAGGCATTGGATCAGCATTGTGCCACCCTTTGCTGCACGGTGGAATAGCCATGAACTCATTAAAGTCTTTTACGTGAATGTCACAGTGCTTCCACTGCAAAGAGATTCGAATAAATAAAGGGTGGTTAAAAAAGAAAAGAATAGCTAACAATATTTAAAATATAGTAATCAATAACTACATTTCATCATAACGAAAGATTATAGCATACCCCTCTTACTGGGTCATGAAAAATAGTTGGTCTAAGATGGTAACTGCATGCAGTCTCGTGGTCATCTTTTTCTTTGAAAACTTTACCACGTCCTTGAATTTTGCAAGTCTGAGGCTGGTTTATATCAACTATCTTCTTTGGTGGAGGAGAAGACCCCTGAACATCTGCACTGCTCTCAGCCAATGCAATTGGGGCAGAGTTCAGTTCTTTGGGCTATGAACCTAAAAGTACATAACATGCTTCAGCTCTATGTATGATTTTATAGCAACATACTTGAACAAGATCAATAACTTTCTTTACTGTAATAAATAATTAATGAGTTCAACTTCTAAGATACGTAGAATATTCAGATATTATCATTTTATGCTCTTAAAATCTAAACCTTAAAACTGACCAAAATGACCCAGTGAAACTTCTGCTTTCCTTGGAAACCAACCATTAATCATATTCAGGTTTCTAAAGGAAAGCATGGTTTAAATCAAAGATTCCAATAGTTTCCTTTTACAGCAAGTATTATATTGCTTTACACAAAAAAATGTTGGAATATTACCACACAACTAAAAGAAAAACTAAAATATTTAATTTCTTGATGACCAAACAACTTGCTAATTTCTCAAGAAAAAATGGCATGCCACAAAAAAGAGAAGGATGATGCACTAGAAAATTTCATTTAACCCACTTGAAGCATGATGTTAGTACATTGACCAAGGAAAAGGAATATCTATAAAACAATATATTAAGAGTACTTTCCCCATTAAGATCATAATGCGCATTGTGCCCTATTTAAGATCATATCTATGAAAATTAGAGACCTAAATAACAAAATTTTTTCATTTTTTTAATATGGTAAATGGGACATGACTTAGTAATAGTATAGAACAGTGGAGGTGAGAAAGAGCTATTGATAATACCGTGATTAAAGCAAAAGAAACCCTAACTGCACATAGGGCAAGATTCTTTTGGTGTTGCACTGGTAGCAACAGTAAAAGCAAGACTAGAAGTTGGATTCTTCTCAGTAGCAGCTAGCGTACTCTACACTGGTTTCTCGATTGTGGGCTTACTTGTCTTACATCTGCATTAAAAATAATAAACTTTAAAAAGAAACTAATAGATGCAAATGGATTATTAAAGTTACCAGGCAATGAACTTCTTTCGCCATACAGAATGTCAAACATTCAATCTTTTCTATATTACTCACTCAAGAAAAGTAGCACGAATCATAGTTCAAGACTTAAAGGAATTAAGACAGGTACTTGCCCTGGAATTTCTAGGAATAAGCTGAAATCATGACTTTTTTTTTTTTTGGCAACAACTCCATTCTTTCATTCCATCATGAAATATAGGCTAGAAAAGGAAATTAAGTTCGCATTATCAGTTGAAATTGATGATGCAAAGGGATATTTTAGAATGAATAAAAATGATTTCTTTTCATAAATTTATACTTACACCCTGATTGCATAAATTCGTCCACGCAATGGAACCAAGCCAACAGGCAAAACAACAAACAAATCAGCATGATTCACAAGACGTAATAACAATCCAAAATCCATATTTAATCATGACAGGCATCGCAAAGTCATTCTTGTCTATGATTAGCAAACCCTGATTGCAAAAACAAGGATAAATACAGACTGAAAGTTATCACTCACGATGAAAAACACGTCAAATTTTATAAAACATGCCACATAAATCCACGAATATATTTCTTAAAAGGCAAGGAAGGGAGGGGTAACACAAACTTGTACAAGTTGTAACTAGAAATAGAAAACCACGTCATTGTAATCATAAGAGGAAAATGGGGGAAAAAAGGAAACATTAATTAAACCAAATCTAGGGTTAACTGTAGCTTTTTATGAATACATCAAATTCAAACTGTGAATATAAATAGATTATACAGCTATCGTATTGCGAGAGTAAACTATGCAAGCAAAAAAGTCAAATCGATCTTCTTAAACTATAAAAATTTTTCAAATTGTTGCATTTCAAGACTAAATATTGGGTAACAAGAAGTTGAATAGATTCTTGATTTTGATTTGAGCATTTCACTTAACTAGTCAATACGTCATGTCATTGGATTAAAGTGATGTAACGCACTGAAAATTAGAAATTTAAGAATAAATAAAAATTATATATTACATTTATATAATAAATGTTCTCACATTTTTAAATTAAATTAATCAAATGTTAAATCATAAATCCGGAACCAAGTCCAGACATCCCTTAAGTAAATAATAGAATAAAAATTTTAAGAGTAAATTAAAATTTTCAAAAAATATTTCATTCATATAATAATTAAATAGTTAATTAATAAATTAAAATATAACTAATCAATCAACCCACAACATAAAACTTAAATCAAACCTCCAAATTAAAACTTAAATAAAAATATTTAATTATTTATTTTATAATAATAAAATTTTTACTGTTAATATATATTAAAAAATATTATTCTCAATCAAAATATAAAAAACATCGGATTAAAATTGCTACAACTGAATAGTACACAGACTTAAATCTAGCAAAACAATGACCCAGCCGGCCAGCACAAAAGAATCCCATCACCTGAAACAGTATATGGCTATCCTTCGCAGATAGAAGAAATGCGATCATCGACTCAAAACTCTTCATTCCACAGGTCATAATAAATCACTAAAAAGTATAAACTCAGTGACCCTTGATACAGATATAAATGTAGAATCCAAATATGTTGGTCGGTGCAGATTCATAAATTTGTCAGAAAAGGAGACATTTTCTTTTGTAAATTATGATAGACTATAACTCTTTTTTGCCCATATGGGCAAATAATCTGTCAAGCTCGGAGCAACCTTCCAGCAGTAGTTTGTGTATAGAGTTACAACTTACAACATTCGACACAAGGATTTGAATGAATTCGTGAGTGCTCAAAATACAAAATCATATACACAATATACAAAAATAATAGTAAAGAATATATGAATGTACATGAGACTTTTCAGCTGGCTTTCAATGGAACCGATAACCATGACGTGTTAAAAAATGTTAAAACCTAATACTTGCAGATGACTCAGTTGTGAAGTGTAATACCAGTATAACCAGACTACGGTAACATGGAAGGTCACAATAATCTGTTATGTGCTTCAATTATGGAAACTTTCTCCTGCAAAACATGAGTAATGAAATGGTATAAACAAACAAGTACATACTTCAAGCCATTATGTCACTCTGATTTAAAGCCAAGAACAACTATAAAGGCCTTCCAAAAGTAAGTACATTATGTCCACTTTAGCTCGCATGTGACAATTGTTTTTGCCCAAAGAGTAGAATGAAAACTTTGGTAGACAAAGAGTTGATGGGCATAGTGATATCATTATAGATGTTAAAAGAAAACAAATTTTCATATTCAAGTTCAAATTTGTTTTGATGGAAGACAATGAGTCGAGGGAAAACGTAAGTAATTTAGAGATAGTTAATGATGATCCATCCTTGTATGCAAAGTTCTGTAATTCTGTACACACAGGGAGACAGGGAGAAGAGAGAGAGAGAGAGAGACCTCATTCTGTGAGCTGCTCTCTGAGGGAAACCATTGCAAAAGAATGCCCAAGTTCATCACATTAGGTATCAATTTGAACAAAAGAGGAGTTGTTACCTGCAGAATCATAATTTGCAAACATTAAGGCATGCTCGCAGCCAGGAATATAAAGAAAAGCAGACTGTAAAGCTTCAAAGTGTAGTTTTCAGATCAGAGAAACCTACCAGACTAAGAGCTGTTGTTCCAAGAAGAAGAAGATACATCTTTCCCTTTAGCAACAGCCAAATTCAAGTCAATAATTGAAAGAAAACAATTGCAATGACAATGAAGTTAAGACATGCTCAAACAAATTAAAAATATAACTTATCAGAATGTATTGGAAAAATCATGCTCTGTATTGGGAAAAAATGGAAGAAACAAAAGAAATAAGTCATTGGTTTATTTAATTGAAAAAAGCACTCATATAAATGGAGTTTGTTGCAGAACTATTTATTGGATTATTGAAGCACCACAAAAAGTAATCATTCTCTTCTTTTATGCCAGTAGAAACAGTCATATTGAGGCTGTCTGAGTGAACCCCCCCCCCCCCACTGGGTGCGGCTGGGAGCACACCTGCTTCCTAAATAAATAATCAAAAACCACATTCAATGACACATATGAGGTCTTCATTTGCTCACTTCCCCTAATCTAACTTCATGAACCACTAGTAATAAAAGCAGTGAATGATAACTCCATGCATCTTGGTTGTTGTTTTCAACTCACAACACACCATATCTTTAGCAACTAATGGCATCCAGAGTTAAATTTGCATATTTTGGAAGCACATATTCTCAAATGATTTTTTGCGTACAATACAACATATTTATTGTTACTTCAATCACAAAATATGATGTAAATGCTGGTCTACATAATGATTCTAATAGTTGGCAAGCAAACCAATTAAATTTCATTCAACTTAATTTGTAATAAAAACTAATTTGAACATTTTAGTGAGAAACTAGGAGTTGACATATTTAGACCTTCCCCATACCCAACAGTATTTGACAATCGTTAACCAGAATATCATCCTGCCACTCAAGACCAACAGGTACATTTGGGCAATTATCACCTAAGAAATATATGGATATGGAAATAGTTGTTATTTTTGGTTAGAATTATGAAACATCATTTTGAAATACTTTGAAACCACTATATGGGAATGACATAATAAGAAGAATAATCCAACTATATGCAAGGAGATCATCAAGAAAGAAGAAAAAACTTTGTTGTTGACATGCGAGGACATAAATGACACATCTATGGAGAGAAAAAGAGATAGGTACCTCAACCAGGTGAAGATTTGAGGCACGACTCAGAAGAACAAAAGAAAATTCTCCAATTTGAGCAAGCAACACTCCAACCTATATCATAGATGTACAAATTACAAACGATGCACAAATTATGTGATGAAAATAAGATGTTTGTTGTGCATAGGAGTGACGAACTTACATGGAAAGATGTTCTGACACTATATCCGAAAGCCTTAGCAACCACAGCAGCGACAGTTGTCTTAACAACAATAACTAGAATAACAGCTGCCAGTAATATATCCACATGGTTCCACAGAAAATGTACATGTATGAGCATCCCAATACCAGAAAGGAAGAGAGCTGCAAATAGATTGCGAATTGGTTCCACCTACAAATTGCACAAAGCATCATACCACAAAAAGTATTAATTTCATCATTACTATGAGAATAGAAACATGAATTATAATAGAGAGAATCTTGCATAAAACAAAGAAATGCAGCCACTTCAGCCACTTAGCCTATTTCAAGACTCAATCTTCCATAACAAACTGCATACCCTATCCAGTGTCTAATAAACACATGAACACTAGCATAAATTTAAAGAGGAATATGATGTGAACCTCTTTGACTCAAAATAAAATTGTCCATTTGCATTTATAAATTTAGAACATTCATGTCCCTATGGACTGAAAATGCAAGATTTAAAACAGACTAAATAAGAAAAGTAAAGAAGCTAAGCCTTAAAATTTTTAAGAGACTAATTGAAAAGTGAAATAGCATGAAATCCTTTTAGCAGAGCTAAAAATATAAGATTAATGACAGGTAAGGGCCCTGTCAATAGCCAGTGATTACCTGGTCTAAAGTATGCTGTGCAAAGTCAGTAGTAGATATCATAACTCCAGCCACAAATGAACCCAACTCAAGGCTGAGACCCAGCTTATCACTGCACTGTGGAGATTACAAAAGTTCAAGGGCGTCAAAAAGGTGATGGGGAAATTTTACATGCAGCAATACAGCAGTTGCAACCATGGCAAGCAGAACACCTACCCAAGCAGACAACAAGCAGAAAGCCACAGCAGCAAGCTGATAAAGTTCATTTGTCTGGATCATAAAATGAAATCAAAATAAACTTATATTTTAAAAACTATTAAAACAAAGTTATAGAGAGCGAGAGAAAAAATATGTTAAAAACTTACTTGAGATGATATCTGCATCATTAACTTTAGGAAGCGAGGAACAAATGACCAAGACAATATAGATGCAACAGTAAGATATATTGATAATACCAGAATCCTGGCATTTATCAGCAGTAAGAGTCAGATTCCATATCTACCGTTTATGAAAAGTCAACCACCAACAGCAGATCAAAAACTGCTTTTGGGAGGAAGGTAGCGAAAAGGAAGGATCAACAACAAGAAAAACATGACAGATGGAAGAACCAAAACAAACTTACAACTTTCCCATTGAAATCATTCCATGCAGTATGCCACTGTTACCCCCCAAAACTGGGAGCAAAGCAAATAACAAACCAACAGCACAATCCTGAAACAGCCAGAGGCGAGGGAATGAATGGATTTGCAGCAATAAAAATCAAGTCTCTGAATCCAAATTGTAATTAAATTTTTTATGGGTCATCACTTCTATTTAACCTGAAAAATTAGAGTCCCAATAGCAACTTGACCATGAAGAACATTAGTGCTATTCCGTTCCACTAAAAACTTCACAACCTGATAAAAGATATAAGGAAAGAATAGATGCCTATTAGATGCATCAAGTAGCAACCAGGAATAAAAGAAAAATACTAGTATTGTGAAATAGTATAGAAAAGTACAACTGCAGTTGATGACATTGAGAGGAATGAGCCAACAAATACACCCTCAGATAATTTTGCTCCACATAACTGCAGATTGAGAGATGTCTAAATTTAGCGTCCATCTTATTGGTGTTCTTAATTGGAAATATAGCCAAAGTACTTGAAACACCATACCACTGCAATTATGCCACACAAGCACATAAATATCACAATTTGAAGTAGTCCTCCAAACACAGCAACTGGCCCCACAACTTTTAACTGCAGCCAAAATTAGTTGACACAGCTTTATTAAAATAAGATACAGACATTTCTAAGCAAGCTAAAGAATCTGACAAATAAGAACTCCCTAAAGCCAAAAAGATCCTACCTTCGCTAAAGAAAACTCCAGCCCAAGAGCAAAAAGAAGAAAGACAACACCAAACTGTGCAACAGTTTCAACCTACGAAAGGAGAAAAGGGAAAGAACACATCACCAAAATAATAAGAAGATGAAAGACCACATCCTGATCACAAATTTCTAAACAAAGGCATCAAAGAATGAAATTTTAGGTGACATAGTTAGGCGTTATTAGTTGCTATGAGCTGAGATTTTTCAATATAAAAATGAAAATAAAAAATGAGAATATAAATTTCAAATGAAAATCTCAGGAATCTATTAACAAAAAAAAAATGATCTTCCAAGGCAACATCTTTGAAAGATGGCACATAAAGCATGTTTCCTCTCCAAGGTACACTCAGTGAGGCTATCTCAATAGAAGACAAATAGACTACACTCAAACATTGAGGCATATGATTTTAAGAAACAACAATCTCAAGCTATTGATAGTGGCATACCTGTACCATTTCGCTAATGAATTTCAACCCTCCTGGTCCTATAAGTGAACCCGCAAGAAGATAGCCCACAATAACCTATCACAAGTATACATTTAGGAAAGTAAAGAAATGTGACTTCTGTTTTTGAGACCTCTGTGATATAACTGCATATCAAACTCAAGATAAAGAAAATGACTATTCAATGCAAATTGGAATAATGCTAATTGTAGAGATACAAACCGGTTGCCCCAAACATGAAAATATAATACCACCGATGGCAGCGGAGACTATGACAACTACCAAATCTGAAATCAATCTGCACAAGGGTGACGCAAAATACTGCAGCATCTTTTATTTGATCGTTAAACAATTTATTAAAGCATAAATCTCAAGTAGTATATCATTTATAAAATCAAAACTCAATGGCAGTACCAAAACCAAGCCAAGGATAGTTTTCAAGGATTATCCATCACAATGCCACCAACGTGTAGTAATATGAAAACCAGAGACTAGATCAAGATAATGAGAGGATAAAAAAGATGAAGATGCTAACCTCAAATCAACTTGGAGTACTGGATACTTGGATTTTTTATTTGACATTACAAACACATTATCCTAACATCAAACAATAAATAAAAAAATAAGAAATTATTAAATTAAAAATAAAAACAACCTACTTAGAAAAAGAACCTACTATATGCATAATAGAAAAAGAACTAACATATGGCCCACCTTTTTGTCAATCAAGGTTGTTGTCTCATCCGAATTTTCATTCTCAAGGGAAAAAACATCTTGAATCTGGAATGATCTTGTCCCACTGTTGAAAATTTTAATATTTGGAAAAAAAATGTCAAGTCATAAAATAAAAAATATTATTTGATTAATAAAATTTTTATTGCTCCAAAAGAAATTCATTCTCCTACTTTGCCTCTTGCGTGTCATTTCTCTTCGTCTTCTCGTGAGTGATTTTAGCTACAGTCTCCAGGACAGCCTGAAAAACACGTCAGGAAGCATCTTTAAGACAGAACAAAAATGAACCATTACAAACAAAGCACATGGAAGAATAAAGGGCATATTCTACTTCTAATATGCATGATGTCCAAACCTAAACTTCCCTTAGTAATTATAAAAACCCCAATCACTAGCCATTAAATTTACCAATATTTGGTTATCGTGATCTAAGCATACCCATAATCAGTATCCCTCACAAGATTGTTCTATTTATTCCCTTAAATTTCAAGGCCTAGTGAAGTTTGGGAAAAAATCTGAAGAAAAAAATGAAGCAGACTTATACACAGGAGCTCAAGCCAAAACCATAAATTTAGTAAAAATTAAAAAGAGAAATAGGGTAGAGGCAACAATATTTGCATAGAAGACTGAAACTACAGAGGAAACATTACAGTCCAGTTTTCTTAGTATCAAAACATGAAAAAGGATTTCACTTTGGAGAAATGGGCTTCAAAGGAAAACCAAACCTACTTGCTGATCAGCTACACTAGTATTGAAACTGCTTGCATCAGATCCTAACAAAAGTGGAAAAAAGCAAATAGAATATCAGCTACAAAGCATTTAAATAACTAATTACCGCTCAATCAATTAACTAAAAATATTAGGGGACATGATAGAAACAAGCATGTAGAAAAGGAAATGGAGCCTCTAATTCGCCATACAATACGATTCAAAGCTACAAAACCATGATAGAATCATAGAAATGAGAGTGTATGACGGATTTTTGCAGATTGTATAAACATTTTTTTTTCATCCTTGTCCATCGGAATTTAAAAAAAAAAAAAAACTAATCTTATTGCTATGTTTTTACTTCACTGTCCTTTATGAAAATTTTATTTTAACTTCTAATGCGATAGATGAGCGCTTTTACTTCTAGTTTAAGCTTCAAATTGAGCCAGCATTGTTTGGTTAAGTTACAAGACCTTCCAGCATAAAATCAAGATCCAACGGTTTGTTCTTCTATTTTTTTTTTTTACCTGGGTTTTTCACGGTATATAAAAGGATTCAAACACATATAACAAAAAAAAATATTTTGAAGTAAAAAAGCTAACCTTCAGGCTGATCATTTTCTGAGAACTCTTTCTCAAGAACCCGATCGAACATTTTGGCAATACTCCCATCCCCGGTACCCGTCGACGACGAGTTCACGAGGTTACCGTAAAACCTTTCCCGGATTTCCTTATCAGATCTCGCCTCCACGCATACCCTCGCGTATAACAGTATCAGCACCAAACAATAAACGCATCCAAACACTCCATGTCTCGCGGAGAAAATCGTCATCGATTCCGTAAATCTCTCTCTTCCTTTCTCTCTTCTCCTTTCTTTCAAGTTTTTGAAACAAAATTTGCAAAGAAACTCAAAAGTGACAAAAAAAAATTCAATGCAGGAGGGAATGTGTTGGAGAGAGTCGATTAATTTGAAATCCGAATCGAATAGAAGAAGGTTTATAGACGCAGGTGGGTGCGTTAATTGGGATTTAACTGTCCAGGCGGGATCATAATTCAGATGTATGACGACTGCGGGTCGCGTGATATCAAAGAAAATGTTTTTCTAAACAGGGTTAATCTCTCGATTGCTCTTGAATTATATTTATCTTACCGGATTTTTAAAATCTTGAGAAATGAATATTAAAAATTTTTAATTTATTAGATGAGAAATGGATATATTAATTAATATAATATTTATTTTTAATATTATTAATTTTAAATAATAATAAAATAAATAAATAATTCTTAACATATTCATAATTTTGAATCTCATATTAAAATTTTTTAAAATTTAAATATCAATATTAAATAAAGAACGGCGTTGATGGATGGATGAAAACCCATATCAACACAAAAAAATTTTATAATTATTCTTTTACTGCTAAAAATTCTCTTTTTATTTTTATTTTTATTTTTATTTATAATTTTGACATGAATTTGTTTAAATCATAAATTTCTTTTATGCTTATGTGTCTTTAATATGATTATCAAGATGACTCTACATTTAATGTTGAAAAGGGGAAAGAATTAAATACTTAAATATTATATTAAATATTTTGTTATAATTAAAATATTATTCATAATATCATTTTTAAAAAAAAAAAAGAAAAAATTGCTTATTTTTTAGTATAACCAAAATTCTCTTTTAATTTTTAATTTTTTTTAGGAAATAATATTTTTTTTATTTACCATTCCGACATGAAACTATTTAGATCATAAATTTTTTATATTTATGTATTTTTTTAATATAATTACCAACAAAACTCTCCATTTAATATTAAAAAAATCTAAACTCTTAAATATTATATTAAAAATTTTACTATAATTCAATTATTATTTGTGATATTATCTTTTAAAAAACATAAAAAATAAAAAAAAATGCTTATTGTTTAGTATAAGAAATTTTAATTACTCAAAGTTATTTACATTATTAACAAAAGAATTTGTTTATATTGGCTTGCAATAGAGGAAATGTCCGTTTCATTCTTATAAAAATAACTAAAAATCAAAATCAAAATATTCTTTCACAAAAGCATTCTTTCCAAATGTTTTTATTTTGTTTTTATATTTCACAAAAGCATGTTGATTACGGTTGGAGCGTTACATCGTTAGGTATGTGCGCACATGCTGAAGATTTGACGGGAGGTTAGCCTACCCCTCCCTTGGACTATACATAAAGCATAAAATTATTTTAGATTAATATAATCATTAATTTTTTAATTATAACAAAATATTTAATATAAATTTTAAATTTTAAAAATTTTTAATATAATATTTAAATTATAAATTTTTTAATTACTATAATATTATATTAATTAATAAAATCAAAATTCATATATCACATTAAAAAATTTTTAAATTTAAATATGACATTAAAAAATATTTTTTTTCATTTTCTCAATTCTCCTCCTCTTTCTAAATTTCAGCTTTTATCTTATCTAAATGTCTCCCGCTTTCGTCTTCACATTAGGCACGAAACCACCACTAGAATTCCCAATTGCCACAAAGCGGCGGGCGGAAGGGCTTCCACAATCTCTAAACAACCGAGGAGAGTTTTCTCCCCCGTTCCAAAGGGTAGGTAAGGACCACTGATATTGGAAAGGCAGGTCGAACAGCACTAGTACTTAAAAACCTGCAGAAAGAGAGCTAGCATAAGGTTTTGAATTACCAGTCCCATGTACAGTTTCCACCTTATCAATTGTAGATTTTTTTAAATTTATCCAGATGCTCCTCTTAGGCTCTTTTATAACTCTATCAACGTTGATTTTGCAAAAAACTTTTATTTTTTTCACGAAAATTTTAAGAAATCTAAAACTTAAAAACTTAGATTTATCACCAGACTTCCATTGATCCTTCCTGTCTTTTTCTAAACTTTTACCATTGAGATTTCTCAAACTCATTTTAAAAATCCTTTAACTCAAAACCTTAGAAGAGGAAAAACCCTAAAGCCCTTTTATCTTTCTAATGTCTTGGTGTTGCTATTCCTCTATAGAGATGATTTTTTTTTTTTTTTAGCGATATGTACTTTTTAGTTTTTTTTTTAATTTTTGGTTAAAAATAGTTTTTTTTTTCTTCAAAGTGTCATGGTAAAGCGTGATTTTTTTGTGTTGTTAGAGTTTTTGAAAAATTTTTTGAATTAAAAAAATTTCAGAGTTTTTCATATTTTTGATTTAGGGTTTTCCAAATTTGCTTTTCTTTAGTTTTGTTTTTTTTTTTCTAAGTTTCTAATATACTTTAAATTCATTATCTTATTATTTACTTGGTTTAAAAGAACATTATGCACATAAAATTTTTATAACTTATAACCTTTTAACTATATCTTCAATGATATATTTTAATATTTTTAGTGATGTTATTTTTATTTAGCTTATATATGTTAGTGTTTATTTTTTAAAAATATGATTGTAAACAAATATTTACAAGTCCCGTAAGAGGATATACCAACTATCGACATCCTTTCTTTTTCTTCTTCTATTTTTTTTTTATTATTATATAAATTTTAGTTCGTATACGGTAAACAACACATGATCAAAATTTATGTCATATGGCATTTTTTATATTTTTATATATTTTTTACTTTTTTTGTTTTTTATTTTTTTTTGCCAAAATATTTTTTATATTTAATAATAGTATAAATATCTTGTTTTATCCAAATTTTTTTAAAAAATTTATTGGGTTTCAAATTTTAATTTTGATTATGTAATTGAATTTTAATTGAAAAAGTGAATTATGAGCTTAAAGATTAAGCTCTAAATTTTATTTGCATTTTAATTTTTTTAGCTTAATTTTTTTTGTCAAATGAGTCAAAGTCGGTAAAAAAAAAAGGTAAAAATGAAAAAATATAGGATTTTGTATGAAAAATCTTGAATTCAATTTAATTATTAGATTTTATCTCATATTTTAACCTTAATAATTGAATAATTTTAGACAGACTTTGAGTTCAATCTATTGAAAAATGAAAGATTATACAAAAAATAAAATTTGAAAAGAAATCTTCAATTCGGTTGAATTAATTTCTTACAAATCGAAAGTGATTCAGTTATTATATAAGGACCTTGAATATGTGATCAAATAGGGGTCTCACAGCAATTGATTTCAAGATCAAATAGAAATCATTAAAAAGAGAAAAAATTTGGGTAAAGTTTTGAATAAACAATGAAAAAGCAATCAAACAAAAAAACTTACAAGAATATCCAATTAGATTGTTTAGAAGAAAGATTTAGATTTATAGTATGACACATTAATTTTTTAAAGGTGAAAAATTATTGGAACCCATAATCCATTGAAGTAATGTCTACTTTTTTTTTTTTTTTGCATAACTTTTATAATATTTAATTACTTACTCTTATTTTTATATTTATTACATGGATTTATTTTTGTATGAATTTGCATGACTAATATTATATTTGCATAATAATTTATTTGCCTAATATATTTGTTTGCATTATTAATATATTTATTTGTGTGATTTATTAATATCTTGTTGTGATTATTAATATATTTATTTGTATGATGATATTTAATTTGATTGCATGATTATTAATATATTTATTTGCATGATTTTATATTTAATTGCATGTTTATTTGCATGATTATGTATTAAATTGCATATTTTGCATGGTTTATATATTATTAATCACATATTTGCATGATTTATGTATTATTATTTGCATGACTATATATTTAATTGCATGTTTATTTGCATGATTTATGTATTATTATTTACATGATTATATATTTAATTACATGTTTGTTTGCATGGTTTATATATTACTATTTGCATGATTATATATTTAATTGTATGATTATTAATTTATTTATTTGTGTGATTGCATGATTATTAATATTTTTATCGACATGATTATTTATTTAATTGCATGTTTATTTGCATGATTTATATTGTTAATTGCATGATTATATATTTAATTACTTATTTATGTAATTGTATGATTATTAATATATTTATTTGCATAGTTATTTATTTATTTATTATTGCACGATTTTATATTTATTGTATAATATGATATTATATATCATTGCATGATTAATATTATATTTGAATGATATTTAATTGTATGTTTCTATATTTATTGTATACATAATTGCATATTTATTTAATTATTAATATATTTGTGTGATTGTATTTGATTTCATGATTATATATTTACGTGAATAATTATTAATATATTTGCATGATATTTTATATTATTGCATGATAATTAATATATTTTCATAATATTATATATTTACATTATTGTTATTATTGCATGTAATTAATATATTTGTATGACACTTTGGCATGAATATTTTAACAAATCTAGGTATGATATTATTACATGATATTTGGTATAATTTATAATAATTTGCATGATAATTTTTATATGATATGATTTAATATTTATTGCATGATTGCATGATTGTTTGATATTTTGATAGAATTTTGTATCACCATGTTTGTAAATAAATAAAATGATTGGAAATTGATTTATTTGCATGATAAAATTATCTTTGATAAGACATAGGTAAGATAACACATAATTAACTTGATACCAATTTTGAGCGTAAATGGGTGCTAATACATCATTTGCACGTAATTGACTCCCAAACTTTAGTTCTATTGATATATATCAAAACTTATTTTTTTTAGGGATCCTCAACTTAGGTTTATGATAACTTTAAAAAAGATAAATTTATATAGATGATCAATTACACCTAAATAAAAAAGATTGATGATGACTCTATGATTTTTATGTCTAATGAGTAGGTTCCTAACGTAAACATTATGACAAATAGTTTTAAAGATTTTATTTCTTGAATGTGGATCCCACTTTATATCAAGCTTTTTTCTTTTTTTTTTATTTTTATTTTTTGAGATTTTAAATTTATTTCTTATAAGATCCGATTGATACTAAAGGTATGCTAGTATTTATTTTTTATTTTTATATATCAAAAAAGTGTTTTTAGATTTTAAATTGTCTTTGTCTCGTCAACTTAATATAAAGGTATATTACATGTCAAGTTATTTTTTTCGTCATTTTTGTGTTTACTTTTTTTGTCTTTTTTTTTTAATATTTATAATTTGTTTAATATTTGAACTTTTTATGTGGAGCTCATTTGGTGTTACTTATTAAAAAATTATTTTTGTATTTTTTTAATTTTTTTTAAATTGATAATTTTTAAGAAAGTGATATTAGGGAAAACTCATCATTGCTAATGTCCATGACATGTTGATTTTCCTTTCTTTTTTTTTTTGCTTTTTCATGTTTTTTATTTTTTATTTTTTTCTTCCTTTATCTTTTATTAGATAATTTCATTAAAAAAACCAATAGATGTGTAAACATGGCACTCAATTTCTTTTTTTTTTTTGCCATTTTGATTTTTTGTTTTTATTTTTTAATCATACAATTTATAATAAAAGAAATAGGCAAATAAATTTTCTAAGGAAATGTGAATGGAGATATAGATAACAAAATAACTCGTATCTGATGGATTTCGATTCGTCCAAATCCTACAGGTGATTTTTTTTTTTATTTGAGTTCAAATTGAGGTTTTTTCTAAAATCAAAGTCAAGTTAGAGGTGAGTTTATGGCATTTCGTCTTACATTTATTATATATAATTATATTTTTAATTAATTTTTTAATTTTATATTTATATATTTAATAAAATAATATAGTTATACATAATTAAGATGTAATCCATAAATTCATCAATTCATTCTATAAATTTGACTCATTTTTATTTTGTTTAACCATCACTTAAGGTATGGTGTGCTACTTTATGTTTTTTTTTTTTCTTTTTTCATGTTTTAAAATTTAAATAAATTTTGTGAAAAAAGCCTATATAGGTGTCCACATGGCATTCGAATTTACTTATTTTCTTTCATTTTTTATTTTTTTAATTAAATAAATTTTGTAACAAAATTGGTTAATAGATAAGAATAGCAAATAATTCATATCCGATAGGTGCTCACTTAATTGAGATGTCCAAGTTGTACCCAATGAGCTTTTTTTTTTAATTTCATTTTTTTCTATTTTATTAAGTAATATTGTGAAAAAAAACCCCCAATGAAGGTGTACACATGACACCCTATTTGACTTTTTTCTTTTTCATTTTTTATATATTTTAATTAAATAAAATTTGTAACCAAAGGTGTTAATTGCTAAAGATATCAAAGCAATTCATCTCTAATAGGTTTCGATCTATTTCGATATGATAAAGGATAATTTTTTAAATCGAAATTGATTTGAAAGGGTTGAGTTTTTTTAAAGAAAACCAAGCTTAAATTGGAAGCATATTTAGAGTGCTTTGTTTATTTCGAAGTATATATAAGAGTATATATTTTATTATTTATTTACTTTTATATATATAAATGCGTTATATTAATGAAGTTATTTTTTTTACCTTAACTTAAGAAATTAATATTTTAAGCTTAATATCGGGTGTTTATGTGACACCCTCTATGAACATTTTTTTCCTTTTTTTATTTTTTTTCATTTTCCCCTATAGACACCCATCTTTATTTGGGGTCAATGGGAGTCCATTTTTATTGCTATTATTTTGTTATTAGTATTAGTGTTATTTTATTATTTTACTAGTATAGTATAGTATGGTATATTATATTATTATTATATTATCATATTATATTATTATCGTATCATATCATATCATATTATATTATATTATATTATATTATTGTTGTTGTTGTTATTATATTATTATATTATAGTATCTTATTATTATTATTACATTATATTATAGTATTATTATATTATTATTATAATTATTTTATTTTATCATTTTTTTTCATTTATTTCTTTCAATCAATGATCACAGAATTAGGAAACTGAAATCTAGAATTGATCAAATCAAAAGAATTCAATCTACCTGGTTAAAGAGTTAATCATAACTAAATTAAAGGATTTTTGTTCGATCCAGAAAAATCAAGAAAAATTTAGATTTAAAATCAAGTTTAGGTAGAATTCAATTCCAGGATTCAAGCTTGGGTTGATTATGTTTTGTCCCTAAAAACTTTCCTAAGGACGCCTATAAATTGAACAAAAAACCAGAGGAACAAGACAATGAATTTTGGGAGAAAAAAAGGTTCTGTGAAAATTTCTGAAAATATTTTAGGTTTAGTTTCTAGGTTTGAAGGTATTTGATTTATAGATTCTAGGTTTAGTTGGAAGTTTCTAGTTTGGTTTGGAAGTGTTAAAGATTTGGATTTGGGGATTGGAATTTAATTTTTTGGAAAATTTTTTAAAAATCTAAGCTTTTTGGGTTGAATATTTGAATTTTCAAATGAGTTTTTCGGTGGGGTTTGAATTTTTTAATGAGTTTCCGATGGCTTTTCCAAAAATCGACGAAGATCTCCAATTTTCAGTTGTGTTCTTAGGACATTTTAAAGAGATGGAAAAGAGAATCGACGCTAGAGAGAGATAACAGAGGACTTATGAAGAAAAATTGAGGAGTGTGACTTTTATACAATGTCAAAATGATGTCATTCTAAAGGTTCTAGAACTGTATGTAGACCTGTTGACCCGTATGTCGACTTGCACTTTGATCCGACCCAATCGCAAGTTTTTTTTATTTTTTTTTATTTTTTATTTTAAGTTTCATTTTATTTTGAGTTTTTTATTTTATTTATTTTACTAACTTTTATTGATTAATTTATTATTAAATATTTCGTAAAAAATTCTTTTTTTCTAGAAAACAACAAAAAAATAATAAAAAAAAATCGTTTTAAATAAATTCATGAATCCCACTAAACTATTCAAAGATTTTTATGGATTTAAATTTTATGAAATCCACCAAACTATTGAAATTTTCCATAAATAAATTTCAAAAAAATAAAAAAATAATTTTTACCCTATTAAATTATTAGAGGATTGTTTTTAAAATTAAGTCTTACCAAACTATTAGGAGATTTAATGAACTTTCTCAAAAGAATAAAATTTTTATAAATATTTTTAAACAAAATCTCACCAAACTATTGAGAGATTTCTTTCAAAGTAAATATTACCAAATTATTGGAGGACTTTATTAATTTTTTTGAATAAAATACATTAATAAATTTGATAACAGAACCTTTTCAGGGTAGAACACTAGTTTCTATGAATACTCCTAAGGTAAGAGAATTATCTTAAATTATTATCAAATTATTTGGGTAATTTGAAGATTAATTTTCAATATTAAATATTTTGATAAATTATAAACATGTTTAAAGTTTGGATAATTTGAAATCAAACTAGTATCATCTTTTAATTGATGCTATGGGGGTATTATAACCTTCTTCACACGTAATTATACTCCTGAACCTAAAATTTAGTTTCATGAATTAAAATCTACTATTTAAAAATACTTAAATTAATCTTGAGACTCCTTTTTAAATGAGACAAAATCGATCAGGTGATCAATAACACCTAAACAAAAAAATTGATAATAACTCTTCTAATCAATATATAATGATAAATCGGATTTATACGTTATGACATTCTCATTTTCTTTTTTTTTATCTTATTATTTTTTGTTTTCGGTATTTATTTTTTTGGATAAGTTTATGAAAAAAAGGGGTCAATTTAAGTATTTATGTGTTTTTCACATTTATTTATTTTTATCTTTTACATTTTTTAATTAGATAAAATTTGAAAAAAATGATGAATATAAAATAAAAATTGAATCGCGGAAACGTAGGGCCTCTTTTTTTTTTGGTAAAATTAAAAAATGAAATAAATTATGTTTTTAATTTTGATGATGATTTTTGTCTTTTTGGTGAGGATTTTTTATTGTCGTTCTTTTACATAATTATCGACATATTTTATTTTTGTTGTTTTTGGTTGATTTCATTAATTTTGTTGTTTTCTTAATTTTTAAATTATAATATTATTATTAATTAAAAATAAGACAATTTATAAAACACTATGACGAGTTGTCACTTGTCGCAAATAGTCAAACAACTCCGCAGATAGTCTTTTATATAATATATACTTTACTATGTTAGCATAGATAGTATATATAATAATAACATAGATAGTATTTTTTTGCATAATTTTGCCAAATTGGTTCTTTTTTTTTTTTTTTTTCCAGTGGATTCCAATACTTGAGTACCTTTTGGACATTATATTTGACTAATATATTGAACTATATTCCAAATCATATATATATATATATATATGTATATGTGTACGTGTGTATGTATTTATTTGTTTTTTTTTTAATTTTAATCATATTAGTAGCTTTTTCTTTTGGGGTTACAATAATGTTAGTGGCTTTCTACAAGATTTTAAAACTTTATTAAAAGTAATCACGAGGTTACAACATTTACAAGGGAAATGTTGGCACAATTATAATACTATAAATAGGGATGTCAATTTTATTTATATTAAATAAAAATTTTGATTTTTTACTTGAATAGAGATAGATATTATATTAACAAAATAAAGAGGATGATGTATATAATTTTAAATATTTTATTGAGTATGAAAATAAAAATAGGTAATATAATATCCACCTTATACTTGTACATACATATATATTTTTATTTAAAAATATATTAATATATATTTATAAATATATTAAATAAATATGAAAAATAAAAATTAAAAAAAGTAAAAAAATAAATTTTAGTTTTTATTTTTTTTAAAAAAACTATAAGTATGTGGATTCCCAATACTCATTAAATATCACAAAGATAAAAATATGAATAAAGTTAAAATATTCATTTAATATAAATATAAAAATAAATATAATAAAAAATTTCTATTTATTCCATACCTTATCAATTTGTATCTCCAAATAACGATTAACATCAAAAATTCCCAAATGCCAATGGAGCTCTCCTTTCAAATACGGGCCTATTTTTGGGCCGCATCAGTTAACTTTTGAAATCCTCAAATGTCAATACGATCCAAAATTTTCATTATTCACGATACTAAAGTTTTAAATTTTTAAAAAATTTTTGTTAATTTTTCATAAAAAATAATTACTAAAGAAAAATGTTATCCGATTGTTAGAGATATTAGTTACAATGATATTTTAAAAAATATAGTTAATCAAACAATTTTTTCCAATTTAATAAAAGTGATGCATTAAATGTAATTTTTTGGTACAATTTTTTAAATAGTAATTAAATAATTTTAATCAGTGTTTATAAACATTTTGGACTCATTATTAAAATAAAAACAGAAAAAGGGTATTTCACCCAAAAAAGAAAAAAGTTAGGAAACCTTGCAATTTTTAATAAAAAAATAAAAAAGTTTATTATGAGAAAATACTGTAATAGAAGTAGAACACCCAAAACAACTAACACCACAAACTGCAGCTAATCCACATTTTTGGGAGCTCAAGGAAAGGACTTAAAAGACGCTAACATACACTAAAGACAGATTTGCCCTTATCTACAACAATCTCCTTCTCTTTGTTTTACGTTCATAAATGTGTTCCGTTTTTTTTTTTCTTTGGCTCTTCATTTTTATCGATTGTCCAGCTTTCTTCTTCATTTTTTCTCGTGCATGAAGGGGTTTTTTTTTCAAGTGAACATGAGTAAAGCAGCCTTTGTTTTACTCTATTTGGGCTTCATATTCATCCTTTGTGAAGCCAAATCGATCAGACAGAAGCCTCAAGCTTTTGAGTCCCTCAATGTCAGTTACGTTCAGGTACCATTACCAACAACTCGTTGCCTTGTCAATAGAATTTCTAGTATTTATGTGATTAATTTTGTTCTTCTTAATGAATTGTTTTTCTTTTTCCTTTTCTTATGACAATAAAAAAAATGAGAATAGAATTTAGGGAGCTGTTCTTACTCGGTGATTATTTCAACGAGCTGTTCCTCTACCAGTTACAATCGAGATCAGATCAGTATCGCTTTTGGGGATGCTTATGGTAATCAGGTTGTATTTTTATTCCTTTTTCCCACTTTTATTTTTTAATATCATGGTTTTTCATAAATTCAGTGGTAAAAACTCAGAGGGTAACTCTAAGTGGATCAAAGATCATAAATTTCTGTGAATTTTGTTTTATTTGTCTGCGGAACTTGCTGTTAGCTGCCTAGGTTGATGATTTAGCAAGATTTGTGGCTTGCTTTTGGCTGAATGGAACTTTGTAGTTTTCAATAAAAAGGGAAAACTTTGTGTGCCAAATATCATATTGTTTTTCTGGAGTATCCAATGGCTCAAGGTTAACCTGTTTTCAGCGAAAACATGTTGCAGAGGGATGAATTAGTCTAATATAATAATTCCCATTTATACTATAATAATACATTATGGTCTCTCGTCCTTTTAGAACAGGACATATTTTATATCTCTGATAAAAATTCATGTATGTTTTTAGATCTTGAAAATATGAATTATTCCTCATGGAGGTTTATTTGGTATATAAAAATAAACGTGTAAAACTATCTTCACAGTTGGCACTTTAAATGCTTTATGACGTACATGAAACTGGTATGTTGAAAAGGATATTGATTGTAGGTCTTTGTGATTGTTTCCCCTGATAACCAGATATATGCACCGAGGTTGGATGATCCATCCACTGAGACATTTGAACGATGTTCTTCGGATACGTTTGAGATAAATGGACCATGTGCATATCAGATCTGCTATGTCTATCTCTATCGAACTGGACCGGATGGTTGGAAGCCAGAGACTGTGAAGATTTATGGTTATAATTCTCAGGCTGTTACTTTTTACTATGACACCTTCATTCCAGGCGACAATTGGTATGGATTTAATTATTGCAACAATGCTTCTTCTTCGCATAGACGGATTGGCCAGAGATGGTTCTTATTTGTGATTCTATGGTTTGTTCTCTGTGCATTCGTTTAAGTATGTCTTCGCAAAGTCCCTAAAACCTATATCAGAAAAGATTGTAGAGTGTGACATGAACTATGCTATTAAGCTATATGTAGAGTGTGACGCCGGTATTAACATTGTTTTTCTCTCAAGTATGCTATTCAATGCTAGCTACAAACTCACGCACTGCAATTCATGCCGGTTAACAGCACTAGACTGTTGCATGTTGGTAGTCGAACTGCATATCTTTATGTTTATTGCAATTTTGGGAGGACAGTGATTCTATCTTGGTCAGAAAGGGTTGTGCTGGTTGGATATTAAGCTTTCAAAAATGTTTGAAAAGCTGACATGTTAAGAAAGAGCATGTACAAAGGAGCATTCCTCTCAGTTTGTTTATGAACGGTAGTTGTTCCATGTCTCAGAAAGCTAGAACTGAAATATTTGGAGTTTGATTATGAACAGTTGTTGTTCCATGGCCCCGAAGGCCAAAACCAATGGTTAGAACATTTTTGATACAAAGGAGGCCTTAGGGATTGGCGAAGGGAATTTGCAAATGCTAAAGATCCAGCCCTATCGTATCCATCTCGCATGAGAGCTTAATTTACAATACAAGGATTGGTTCTCCTTCCCATTATTCGGTTTAATCACTAACCATGATAACAAGGATCTACCTAATGATAAGAAGTTTTAAAAAAATAAAAGAATTGAACAAAAAAAATGTCAAATGCACATCAAACCTTTTAATTAATAATTGAAATAGAAAATTTAACAAAGAAATAAATAAATAAATTTTTGAAAGAAAAGAAGAACATAATTTTAGAGATCATTATTTCACTCACATAAATGCATAAACATTTCTTTCTCCTATTCTATGAAAATGAGCATGCATGATGCCTAAATGTTATTTATAGGCTCAAATCAAAAGTTAAAACCCTAATTCTCCCATCTCCATTTTTTTCAATTTGGATTTTAAATCCAAATAAATACAATATGATTTTCAACAAGAGTGATTTATAAAGGAAAATTATTGTGAAAATATTTTGCAATTAAATTATTAAATTTAGACTTTGATTGGTGCGTTACCATAAAAGTTGAAAAAGTTAATTACGAATCAAAGTAATTATAATGGGTATTTAATTTGATTTATTTACTTTTGGAAAAGGGAAGAAATTAAAGATCACGTTAATATATAGTCTTCCAATACAAAAATACTTATTTTTTGAAAAATTAACTTCCTAATTTATCTTGTATTCTTTCCTAACATATCATATAAACTTCATTGAGTAAGAGTAATCATGTAAATTAATTAAAAACTATTAATATTAATTTCTCAAAAATAAACAATGGAAATAACTTAAATTCAATATATAATTTATTTTTTAAATATATAAAATTTTTTGTTTAAAAAATGATAAATAATCTTGTAAATTTATATATATTGGTTTGATCAAGGGGTAAAGCCCTATAACAAGAAGGGAAAGGGAAATGCTGGGTCGAACCTCAACCTTAATGTCTTCTAAAGACGTTCTTGACCATTAGACTAAGACGTTAGAAACATCTTGTAAATTTATATTATTTGACTCAAAGAGTCTCATTTTCTCTTTTCCAAGTTTCAATTTTTCAATTTAAAATTATTTGATTTTGTGGGCAAATATGAAAAATGATCATCTCTAATGTGTTTTTTTCTCTAATTTTTTCTAAAATTAAATAATAACAAAAATTATTTTTTTTTCACTTTTCTACTCAACGTTTTCATCTTATCAAACAAGTTATTCGTTAAAATAAAGTCCAATTTAGCACAGTGATTAATCGAAGATTCTATATTTGTTTAGACCAAAACTCCAAAATCCAAAATGGCCAATTAAGAAAAAATTTACTATATTTAATTACTTGAGATTCATAAATACAAGTTGATTTCTCCTTTGTTGTTGGCTTGTTGCAAGATTAATAATAATATATTTAAATGTTTAAAAAAAAACTATATTTAAAAATTATTGCTATAATTTTTTTTAAGTCTAATAATATATCTTATTTTTTAATTTTTAAAAAATGTAAGTTGATAAGTTTTTATATTTTATTATTTTTATACAAATAAGTTTAAATTATAAATAAAAAAGAACAAATATAATGCTTAAAAGATTTGATAATTTTTTTTATTACGTGTCCCTTGAACATTGGGTTCACTATAATTATAGATAGATTAAAATGAATAACAAATTGAAAGAGGAAAATAGAAAAAAATTATGTCAAAAGAATTTCTCTTACTTTTTAGGTTGAAATTAATGATAATTGTCTCGAAAGGCTTCGACTCTAGGTCTGTCCAAAAGTGGGCTGAAAAAAGGTTAATTTGGGTTGATCATATAAACAATCCATTCTTATTTTTCTTCATTTTCTTCTCTGATACTTTTAGCCCAAAGCCCAAAGCCATTTGCCACTTATAAACCCTAAAAATCCTAAGCCCAAAACCCAAAGCCACCCGCCCATCATAACCCCTAAAAACCCTAGAGTCAGGAATCACTATATTATTTCTGTTAGATTGTTGTTTAGTAGATAACTTTCTGCAGCAGGAGAAAGGCGCTCTCTCTCCCTGATATTCCTTCATTTTGTTTTCTACAGCTTTTTAAGATTTTAGTTTATAACAATCTAATCTAATGCCTTCTTTAGCTTTATCTGATGTCAAAGAGAAGAAAGAAAAAAAGATGAAGAAGAAGGTAGCTCTCGAAACTCCAGAAACCGAGAAAAAGATGAAGAAGATGAAGGAGCCCAAGGTTAAAGATGAAGAAAATGATTCAGAGGTGAAGAAGAGTAAGAAGAAGCGAAAGGCATCGGAGCTTCAGTTTGAAGAGGAGGAGAGGAGCGAGACGAGTTCGGAGCTTGTTGAGCCGGTGGATGTGAAGGAGAAGAAGAAGCAAAAGAAAGCCAAGGCGGAGGAAGACGGAGAGGAAGATGAAGGGAAAAGTGAGGATTCAAATGCGATTTCGAGGTTTCGGATTTCGGAAGCGGTTAGAGTGAAGCTGAAGTCGAAGGGGATTGAGTCGTTGTTTCCTATTCAGGCCATGACTTTTGATATTATTCTTGATGGCACTGATTTGGTTGGGCGAGCACGAACCGGTCAGGTATAATCTTCGTTTTATTTTATTCGTTTCAAAACATGTGTTGGCTGCTAATTTCTGATGGAAGTTTACCGTTGGATAGGTTTTTAGTTTTATAGGAACCGTGAATTTCTTATGAATGTTGAAGGTTTTTATGTGATTATATGCTGCTATTGAAGTGACTGTCAACTCCATTATTTTGGGTATGCTGTTGATATGGTTTATGCAGGAAACTTGTGTTACAAAAATCTCAAGTGAAATGTATGGTTTAAATTGTTTTCTCTGGTTGCCTAATTTTGAAGTTTAACCCTGATTAATGCTTATGGCTGTTGAGCTATGTTGGTTGGTCAATTCAGTTCAAACCATTGTTGTGTGACTGTTTCTAGAACTTCTCTACTTAAGTAGCTCATTAACCTTTTTGGCTATTGTGCAGGGTAAGACACTGGCCTTTGTGTTGCCTATATTGGAGTCTTTAACAAATGGCCCCGCAAAAACATTGAGGAAGACTGGATATGGCAGGCCGCCAAGTGTTCTGGTACTTTTACCTACCAGGGAATTGGCTAAACAGGTATAGCGCTATGAACCTAATTCTGTAGACATGAGATTCTTTGGTGGCACCCTTCTTTTTTGTGTGAAGTTTATAATAATTAACCTTTTGTTTCTAGGTTTTTGAGGACTTTAAAGTTTATGGTGAGGTGTTGGGGTTGACTTCATGTTGTTTATACGGAGGAGCTCCTTACCATACCCAAGAGATGAAACTGAAGATAGGGGTTGATATAGTTGTTGGGACACCTGGCCGTATAAAGGTAACCTGTTGTTGTTATTTGTTCAAGTGGTTTTGCTAGTTTTAGAGATGTTGCTAAATTCTATACATATTTTAAGTACTATTATTTGATGATATGTGATGTCCTAGTGCAAATGATGCAGGATCACATAGAGAGGGGGAATATTCACTTAGGCTCATTGAAATTTCGAGTTCTTGATGAGGCAGATGAAATGCTGAGAATGGGATTTGTCGATGATGTTGAACTTATTCTAGGTATGTATTTTTGTGTAAATTATTTTTTTGGGTGTTATAGTTTCTGTCTATTAATGCTAGAGAAAGTGGAATACAATAGAATGTTAGGATGCTGTGCATGGCACGGCTGTATTTTTATTCCATTTATTGATATCATTGATCCCCATGTGCATTCCCCTGCTGTCTGATTTACTTACGGTAATGGTTTAATTTTCCAGGAAAGGTAGACGATGCAAGTAAAGTTCAGACACTTCTTTTTAGTGCCACCTTGCCGGACTGGGTGAAGGGTGTATGTTTCTTCACTATTTTCTTGCATTATAGTATTACTATATTAGCTCCGATATCTGCTCCATTTGTTAGAACATGAATTAAAAATGTAAAATTGGGCCTCCTTCCTCTTCATTTACCTTTCTGATAAAAAACTTGTCTTTTTTCATTGCCAGATTGCTGCAAGGTTTCTTAAAACAAGTAAGAAGACTGTTGATCTTGTTGGTAATGAGAAGATGAAGGCTAGTACCAATGTTAGACATATTGTCTTGCCCTGTTCTAAGTCAGCAAGGTCGCAGCTGATACCAGATATTATTCGTTGTTATAGCAGGTTGGTTTAGTTCTAAAATAACCATTACTGCTACAATTTAGATTTCCTTTTGATGATTTGGGTCATTTTCTTCATCTCTCCTCTTTGTGGGATGGATATGATTCAGTGGTGGACGTACTATTATATTCACTGAGACGAAAGATTCTGCTTCTGAGCTTGCTGGCTTGTTACCTGGATCCCGGGCTTTGCATGGGGACATACAGCAGGTCCAACGTGAGGTAGGTTGTTATTTAGAGTATATCATTTTTCATGCTTTACCTAAAGCAAAATTAACTCTATTGCTTTAGTATTTCTCATTTTGTTATGTTCTTGCAGGTCACCCTTAATGGGTTCCGGTCAGGCAAGTTCATGACATTAGTGGCTACAAATGTGGCGGCAAGGGGATTAGATATCAATGATGTGCAGTTAATTATCCAGGTATGTTTGGATGCAGATGTTTTACAGAAGTTTGTGTTGGTTTGATTCCATTATATTTATATATCAGTAATTCTATTCTTGTGTGAGTTTGTGTTGTTTTGAGTCCATTATTATTGATATATCGGTAATTCTATTCTAGTGTGAGCCTCCACGTGATGTAGAAGCGTATATTCATCGGTCTGGACGAACAGGGAGAGCAGGTAAATGATAACTTAGTTCTTTTTTTTTTTTGGTTATTGAGAATTTGACAAGATACTGAGAGAGTTACTAATATTTTAGGCAATACTGGAGTTGCTGTCATGCTTTATGATCCTAAAAGGTCAAGCATATCTAAGATAGAAAGAGAATCTGGTGTAAAATTTGAGCACATTTCTGCACCTCAGCCTGTTGATATTGCTAAATCTGCTGGTGTTGAAGCAGCAAAAACTATAACCCAAGTTTCTGACAGGTATACTTGCTAATGCTGTTATTTGATCTCTTCTTTATGCTGTCAACATCAGATCTTAACCTCTATGAGATTTCAGTGTAATTCCTGCCTTTAAATCTGTTGCTCAAGAGCTATTGGAAACTTCTGGTCTATCAGCTGAAGATCTACTTGCCAAAGCACTAGCCAAGGCTGCAGTGAGTTCTCTTCCTTCCTCATATGGACCTTTTGACTCCCTTCATCTTATGAATGCTCACTTTCTGGTGTTTGGATTGTATAAATAATAATAATTTAACTCTGGTTTCTGTTTTGGTTGAAAAAACTGAATTATTGCATGATTTTTCAGGGTTATTCTGAGATAAAGAGTAGGTCCCTATTAACGTCTATGGAGAACCATGTTACATTACTTCTTGAGGCTGGAAAACCTATTTATACAATTTCGTAAGTTCATGAAGCTTTCCTTGTTTGTTTATCTTAGTAATTGATATAGAATATATGAAGAAAGAGATAGTCACAAGCAGCACAAGGACCTGAAAATTCTTCAAAACTAGGAACTCTATACTCCAATTTTAAATCTCTAGGTATCTCATTGCGTCAATAATCACAATAAATAGACAAGCTATTGAGAATTGAAATGACAGATATTTTATAAGCTACCAAAACCCTAATTAAATTGGCTAAACAGTAAGTATGAATATGAAATGAGTTGAATCTCTGAAACACAATATTGTATGAGAATCAATTCCTTAATACTTCTTGGATGATAGAATTCCTCCATTTGGATCACCCTACCCTGCATCAGTAATTATTCTAATATTCTCTTGTAATTATTATTTGTTTATTTGTACCTTGGATAAAATAACTAGGTGGTTTGCATAACATTTTGATGGGCACTATTAATTTTCAATTTTTGGTACTGAGCTATCTGAATTTGACTCATTTGTCCTGATCCCCTCTTCTTTTTCATTTATTAGATTTGTTTTTGGCGTCTTAAAAAGATTCTTGCCTGAGGAAAAGGTTCAGTCAGTGCAAGGTCTGACCCTTACTGCTGATGGAATGGGTGCAGTCTTTGATGTTGCAGAAGAAGATGTGGAAACATTTCTTGCTGGTATTCTTTTTCTATGCCGGTTTAATTGTGATTGTATTGAAGCGTTTGTTCTTAATATGTTTCTACTTTGCTGATCCCTGACCTCCACATTCTATTGGCTGTTGTTGAACTTGTCAAGTATGGTCTTTTATAGCATCATATCACCATATAAAATGTGTTTTTTTTTTTTTTTTTTTGAGGAATTAAGTTATATTAGTTGTCTTCCCTTGTTCCCAAGTGTTTTGCGGGTCTTATTGAATGTCGGGACTCTTTGTTTTGGTTCTAGATTAGCATTATTATTAATGCTTAGTATTCTTGGGTTTAAGTTTTACATCATTTCTTAACTCTCTGATTTCAGGTGCTGAAAATGCAGCTAATGTTAGCTTAGAGGTGTTGAAGAAAGAATTGCCACGTTTACAAGAAAGAGACCAGTCAAGAGGGAGATTTGGTGGACGGAGTGGTTTTGGTGATAGAAATGGCGGTGGTGGTAGGTTCTCTGGAGGCAGAGGTGGATTTTCTGGTAGAAGGAATGATAAGTTTTCTAACGGTTCGAGAGGTGGGGGAGGCCGCTACAATAGCAAGAAATGGTGAGGCTCCCCTGAATCTGTCCGACTTCATCCAATAAAAATGGTGCTCATGGGTAATGGCTGCCTGTGTGGGCAAAATTAGTCCCGAAGATGATGAAGAAATGTTCGATAGGAGCCTACAACATTTTATCTAGTTTTCCGTGTGTTAATCTGCAGGTTTTTTTTTTTTTTAATTTTTAATTTTTCGTTTTCAATTTATGATTATTTTATGAGTGTATCTCCTGGGGATTTTGCCTTCCTCCCCACTCGCCTAGTTGCTTATATTTTGCTGAAGAAGAAAATTACATTTAAATTTGTATTCTTTGCCTGCAAGGTTGCAACCAAAACATTAACACGGAAAACATAATATAAGAATTTTGTGAGCATGGCTGTCTCAAAAATTACTTTTAAACAGTGTTTGATGGATGGAATTTCCTTGTAATTTAAGAAACCAAGTCCATGGTCTATGGAGGGTCGCAAAGAGAATTTTATTCCAGACTAAAATGCACAGGTGGTCATCTTGATAATTTTTGTTTTGGTCATTCTAGCTGACGATTTAATTATGAACGTAAGATTTGTTTTTTTTTTTTTCATCTAGTAACAAATGGTCAGATACTGTGGTTACACGCCTAGACTGAGAATGCTGTACTTGTCAGCTCAATTGTCACGTTATGCTTACGTGGCATTGTAGAGAGCCCATTTTTAAAAAGTTTTTTACTTTCTTTATCTCTCTCTTTTTTTTTTTTTTGTTTACTTTCTTTCATTCAACAACACCACCATTTTTTTTAAATAATAAAATATATATTTGATTACTCAATTATGATTATATTTTTAAAATAATCATTAAATTATTAAAATTTTAATTTAGTTACTAAAATTTGGATAAGTATATATTTTGCAACCTATCCTTTAACTTTTAATGGCATTCTAACGTAATTACAATGAAAGTTCATAATTTTAATTTCTTGCAATAAAATATTACCAAAAAATAAATAATAGAAAAATTTTTATAATTAAAATATTTACGTTATGAAATATGAAATTTATTAATATTTTGATCATGTGAAATTTATTAATATTTTGATTTTCATTGTCAATAGTTTATTGTCACTGTAGATTTATAAAGATTTGATCACAAGCATTTGTAAAATTTAATATAATAAATTGTTTTATCTATATATATTTTTTATTTTTATTACATGAAATTAAAATTATAAACATTCATTGTAATTAGAATCTTGACATTATGAAAATATAAAATACTTGAATTGGAATGGCTGAATGACAAAGATTTGAAGTAATGCTATTTTAATAATTTTTGCAAATGGATAATATTAATTTATTTTTCAAATTTAAATGATATAATTACAATAAAATAAAAAATTATCATTTAATTCCATACAATAAAACTATCAAATGCTTATTTCTATTTTTTTATATAAAATTTGAGGACTTATTTGATAATGATTAAATTATAAAATTTTAAAGTTGAATGATAATAATAAAATTTTTTAAAAAATTAAATGATTGAAGTAAAATTCATCTTTATTTTTTAATTTTTAATTTTTTTTCAAAATTTATAATGCTATATCAATGATATTACATGATATATCAAATGATGTGATAATGTGATGGGATGCCTGATAATTAATAACATATTATCATATTAACATATCATCACAAACTATTAGTTGAATAATAAAATTAATTTACTCAAATTTTTATGATTAAATTAAGAATTTTAGTAATTTAGAGATAATTTTAAAATCATGACCATACTCGGATAACCAATGGTATATTTATGCTTTCTAGATTTTTGTGTTTGAATCACCGTCTATTAATGTGTCTCTTCCCAAATTTCACCCAACTTTTCTCCTTGATTCCTTCTTTTCTTGTATCAGATAAAATTTTTCATAAAACTCCTAGAAAGTAATAAATCTAAAACCAAACTTGAGACCTTAAAACCTAAATCTGCCACTGTCAACGTCACCGTTTTCTCCGGCTGTACCCCTTTACAACTTAAGAAACCCTGAAAACAACCCAAAAACCGGAGATCAAAGGATCTAAGAATCCAAAACGGCTGCATGCATCCACCCTTCTTCGCCATTGCGACCAATTTTTTTATTGCTTTTTATTTTATTTTGTTGTGTTGCTTCCCTTTTGCCGATGATGCTGATAGGTTTTTGTAACTATGGTTGTCTGGTAGTCAGCACCAGCAATGGCAGCAACGGTGGTTCGCAAGGTAGAGAAGATTTTCATGAAAGTGAATCAACGCAAAGGGAGCATAAGAGGTGATAAAAATAATTACAGAAATATTGGTGACTAAAATCGACCCTTTTCATAATTGAATAACCAAAATAAAAAAATGTCAAAATTAAATAAACATCCATTTATTTTACCCTTAATTCTATATCTTGTGCAAAGTTTACTCCTACTTATGTCATTTTTAAGTAGTTAAAAAATTCAATACATTTTCGATTTTCATGTACATATTATCATATAATATAAGAATAATATATCCTTCATTTTCTTGTCGAATTTATATTCTTAAAATTTAATTAAATAGTACATCTTATTTATATTATTGAGTTTAAAATTTTGGTTCAAAATAGCCCTTGAAAAATCTCGTACCCATGGTAATTTATTGTTAACGTTTCATTCATTGGTCCTAAATTTCTATTGCGGTGAAAAAAGAGTTAAAATTCTAAGAGTAGATCAATCCAACATCCTCAATCAATTCCGACTCAATGCAAAACTATATTCCATCCATCTATATTATATATTAAAATTATCTTGGATTAATTTTTCTACACTTGTCCTTAGAGTCGATAATTTAATTCATTTTCGACGGATTTTGATCAGATCTTATCTTACAAGATCAATTTTTTTTTTTAAAATTGAAGTTTCGGATCGGATCGGATAAGATTATAAAAATAATTGAGATCGAAGTTTAGATAAATTCGATCCAACTTGATATTATATAAAAAATTATTTTTAATTAATTATTTAATTAATTATATATTTATATAATGATATTTTTAAATATTATATTTAAAAAATAATATTTTATATTTTTAAAAATAATATTTTATTAATTTTTGATAGAAATCGTATTCGGATATGAAAAAAAAAAAATTCAAATAGAATCGAATTTGAATTTGATAACATATAAAATCGAATTAAATTTAAGACAAATAAAATCCATCCCAAACTCGATTCGATATTAACTCCACTTGTCCTATGTTGTAAAAGTATTAAAATCCTCTAAATAAAGAAATTTCTGTTTTAGTGATAGAAAAAAAAGGAAAATAAAAAAAAAAAAACTTTTAAAATAACATCAAACGGTGGTTCAGGAAAGTAAAAAATAAATAAATAATTGCGCTGGAGCAAAGCGTAGCTGAAATTTCTAGTATCTATAGCGAAGAAGATTCCAGCATTATCTTGAGACACGACTCACGAGTGAGCACTGAGCACGTCTGTTCGAGTCTGAATTCGAACAAAGTTCGCGAACTGCGCCGTCTTCGAGACAAGCCCAGCCCATCCAGGCACAATTGTGTTTTGTACTATTTTGCGCACATTTTTTTGTTTCAGCCCAGTTCTAGTACTTCCACCAGCCTCCAGTTTCCTCTCTTCCTCTGCAAGAACAAGAACACCAAACAAACATTGAATCATTCCAACTCTCTCTGATAAAGATTTTCCAATATCATGGCATGCTGCAAAAGGGCAAAGCTTCTACTTAATTCCTTGCGCAATAGTTTCACTTCAAGGCCTATTCTCAGATCTCCAATACGGGATTCGTCTTCAATAATCTCCCAGAACCTTGGGTCTTCGAATTCATTTTCTAACGGATCTAAGTTTTCTGGGTTCTCTTCATATTCTTCTATCTCACAAAGACTAGGAATTTCTGATAAGTATCATTATAATCCGTTTTCTAATGGTGCTAAGAGATTTTACTATGTCGATCGCTACCAAGTTCACCATTTTAGGCCGCGTGGTCTACGAAGGTGGATCCAAAATCCAAGGAATGCGTTGATTGTTGTCTTGGTTGGTTCTGGGGTTTTGATTACTATATATTTTGGTAATTTAGAAACTGTTCCTTATACAAAGCGAAAACATTTTGTGCTTTTGTCTAAAGAAACGGAGAAAAGGTTGGGAGAGACTCAATTTGAGCGACTGAAAGCATCTTTTAAGGGAAAGATATTGCCTCCAATACACCCGGAAAGCGTGAAAGTGAGACTGATTGCCAAAGATATTATTGATTCGTTGCAAAGAGGGTTGAACCATGATCAAATATGGAGTGATTTGGAGTATGCATCGCCGGAGAGTTCATTTGGACATGAGAGTGGTTATGATACAATGGCGGCATTGAGTGGGAGGGAAGGAGAGTCAGGGATCAATTGGTCGCGTGAAGATGAGATTCTTGATGATAAATGGGTTCTGCGAAGTAGGAGGGAAAGTCAAGAGAGAGGGTTGCAATCGACAACGTCACATTTGAAAGGATTGAATTGGGAAGTTTTGGTCATCAACGAACCTGTTGTTAATGCTATGTGTTTACCTGGTGGGAAGATTGTGGTGTTTACGGGGTTGCTTGAGCATTTTAGAAGTAATGCCGAGATAGCTACCATAATCGGACATGAGGTATATACTGGTTATCACTTTAGTTAGTCATTTTTTATTGGATGTGGGAGTGATATCTTTTCATTGTTTTTATCTGATTAGGTTGGGCATGCAGTGGCTCGACATATAGCTGAATCAATAACAAAAAATTTGTGGTTTGCCATCCTGCAATTGATCCTTTATCAGTTCTTTATGCCTGATGTGGTCAACACAATGTCAGCACTCCTCTTGAGGCTCCCTTTCTCTCGGAGGTATGTATATTTTCTATATTTGTTCTTTTGAAGGAGGGAAAGATTATATACACATACATAAAAATGTAACAAAATAAAGATTAGATTGAAGAAAAAATATGCTTATGTGTACAATTTATGTTTACGAAATATGTGCATGTAATGTTGTCCTTACGTTTATGTATATACATACATATATAATTTGACGCTACAGTGAGAACACCTCGTACTTTGTGACCTCTTTATCTGTCATCGCAGATGAACTCGTCTGCATAAATTTTGAATGTATTTTTCATTTTAACTGTATGGTCCAGTTTAGTTCTTCCAATGCCTGCATGCTACATTTGCAATGCCATAGGGTTGTGGATGTACCATAAAAAGCAGCAGAGCAATGACTCTGTGAATCCATTTAATGGCAACCAAATCTCTTTAAGACTTGTCAGATTCCTGTTTTCTCAAGCAAATCAACTACTATGAAATAGAATTTGAGAGTTTTACTTCTGATTTACTTTTCTTTTGTCCTCGTTATTATCTTACCTAGGCTGTAAGATCTGAGCATAAGTGGGTATCAATAGATATGTTTGATAGCTTTACTCCCTCTTCTAATCGACCATACAAATAACTGAGTACTGAAAATAAAAGCAGTGGTTAAACTGTTGCCAAACAGATTAGAAATGGTTTATATGCAGATTCAGGAGTCATGTCTATACACTTTGCAAATAGTTCTTGGAACTGTCCCAATAGTTCTCGTGCATGCTGTTCATGCTTCTCTCAAACTCACAAGAATAAAATGATACGTTATTAGGGAATTGTTTTGTCTGAATTTTGGTCATTAGTCAATATTGAAATTTCCTGAAAGTGTCCCTTAAAGCTGTCCAATCTTTGATTCTGTTAAACTAGTTGTACATTTGGCCAATACCAAAAGATGTAAGGCCTTGTCCCCTGGAAAAAAGGAGTGTCCATATAGAAATCCAATATCCAGTGATAGAAGGGGAATTTTTGTAAGCTTCCAGCTTTACCGTAGCACTTATCTGTTCTTGATCCAATTCTTTTACTGAAATATCTTAGGTCTTAGCTATTTACTTTGGAAACTCATCTGTCAATTGTTGAGGTATGCCTGATACATAATAGTTTAATAAGTAACCACTCCTCTAGAAGGAAAGGTTCCAAGAATTCTTTCTTTCACACAGTTACAAATGAAACCCGGATTTTCTTCTATTTGACATGAAGCACAAATTTTTTAGTACATTTTAGTTGCGCTCAGTGAAAGTGACCTTGTTAAATGTCATTCTCATGGTCTTCCCAGTGCTTAACCCGTATTATCATCTTTGATAGAATGGAGCTTGAAGCTGATTACATTGGGCTGTTGTTGCTTGCATCTGCTGGCTATGATCCTCGAATTGCTCCCAAAGTGTTTGAGAAATTAGGAAAGGTTGCAGGGGATTCAACACTGCAAGATTATCTCTCCACGCATCCATCTGGGAAGAAAAGAGCTCAGTTACTAGCTCAAGCTCAAGTAATGGAAGAAGCACTCATGATTTACCGGGAAGTAAGAGCAGGACGTGGGGTTGAGGGTTTTCTTTAGGATCGCAACGACACCACTATGAAGCTACTCTCTCTGCTCCTGGAAGCCAGACCAGCCCGTTAACTTATTCCTTGCATTAATCTTTTTTTACAAATTTTATTTCAGATCAGCACTTTAATCACCACACACTTGTGGATTTGGGTTCTTTTCAGTCGAGTTTTCTCTTACCATGTCTTTCTGCAGCAAGTGTAACTGTTAGTTCCATAAAGCCAGTAAATTTTGTGTCTTATATCTGTTCATTTTTTCCTTTCTGTAAATGAAATTGCTAATATGTCTTTCTAGAACGTTGTTTGTCCTCGTTCTTTTACATACCCTGTTAAATGGATCATGTTTTTTCTGTTATGAATTACAACTTTAAGCGAAAGTTTGGGCCTTCGCTGTCTTAATTCTCAAGACACACAAGCTCTGGTATCACTTCTTTGATAAGGGGCTGACCAGCTCAGGAAAAAGCCTTTACCAGACGAGCTTTTAGAGAGAATCATGGCCCAATTAGGAGCAGTTTAAGTAGTCAGACATATCTCCTGCTCGTTTAATCTCTTGGCTACTCCATTCTCTAAACTAAACATGCTGGAACCAAAAAGTCCAACGCTCAAAAACACCATCTCACGCTTAATCGAAGAATTCAAGAGTCTGAGAGAGCTCAAACAAATTCATGCCCACATCATAACTTCTCCAAAACTACCGAAAATCCATCAAGATTTTCTCATTACTCGCCTCCTCTTCTTTTCTGCCCTTTCAGACACCGGCTCTCTTTGCTACGCGACCCATGTTTTCAAATTCATAAAGAACCCAACGCTGTCCGTATATAACATCATGATCAGAGCCTATGCTTCCAAAATCAGCGACTCAGATAACACGAACCTTTTACAATCTTTAGTTCTCTTCAAAGAAATGCTTTTTATTGGCATTTCACCGGATTGCATCACGTTTCCTTTTGTCATAAAGGAATGCGCCAGGAGGCTAGATAGCCGCGTTGGGTGTAGCATTCATGGGAAAGCCATTAAATTTGGATGGTTTTGTGACCTTTACGTTCAAAATTCTTTGGTAAGTTTTTATTCTGAATGTGGGTTTTTGAATAGTGCTAGGAAGTTGTTTGATGAAATGCTGAATAGGGATGTTGTTTCTTGGAATTCGATGATTATTGGGTACTTGAGAGGTGGGAATCTTGACATGGCATTAGAATTGTTTAGAAGTATGGAGAAGACGAATATCATCACTTGGAATTCGATGATAACCGGTTTTGTTCAGGGTGGCATGGGAAAAGAGTCCTTGCAGTTATTCCATGAAATGCAGAATTCAAGTGATGATAATGTTAAACCAGATAAAATTACAATGGCTAGTGTACTGTCAGCTTGTGCTTACCTTGGTGCAATTGATCATGGGAAATGGATACATGGTTACTTGAGGAGAAGCGGTATTGAATGTGATGTGGTGATTGGAACAGCATTGGTTGATATGTACGGTAAATGTGGTAGCGTGGAGAGGGCATATGAGGTCTTTAAAGAGATGCCTAAAAGGGATACCTTGGCATGGACTGCTATGATTTCTGCATTTGCACTTCATGGCTATAGTAAAGAGGCTTTTGACGCCTTTGAAGAGATGGAAGCTGTGGGAATGAAGCCTAACCATGTCACGTTTCTTGGGTTATTGTCAGCTTGTGCTCATTCTGGCTTGGTAGAGAAAGCTCGCGGGTGTTTTGATATGATGAGGCGTGTTTATTTAATAGAACCACAGCTTCACCACTATGCTTGCATGGTTGACGTTCTCAGTCGAGCAGGGTTATTTGAAGAGGTAGAAGAACTTGTTAGAAGCATGTCAATGGAGCCAGATGTGTTTGTTTGGGGAGCATTACTTGGAGGCTGTCAGATTCATGGGAATATAGAATTAGGAGAAAGGGTAGCACAGCATTTGATTGATTTGGAACCGAGGAACCATGCTTTTTATATTAACCTGTGTGATATATATGCCAAAGCTGCTAGATTTGATGATGTGAAGAGAATTAGAGCCTTAATGAAAGAAAGAGGCATCAGAAAAGAAGTCGCAGGCTGTAGCATGATTGAAGTTGATGGGCTCGTTTTTGAATTTTCAGTTGACGGATGGCCTGTGCTAGTGATGGACGAGATAGTGCTGGTCTTAAATTTATTTAATAATGAGATAAAGGGTGATGATGCCACGCATTACTGTGATGGGATATTGTTGGAGGCACAAAATTGATGATGATGTGTGGATTATTATTTGGCTTTTCTCTACTTTTTCATGGTTTAAAAAAAATGGTAATAGGATTTGCCGGCGGCTATTCCATTCAAGGGAACAAAGGCAACCATTATGGTTAAGGAACCAAGACCAAATTATCAATGTGGACAAGATAGCGGGTTAAAGTAAAAAAGGTTTTGTCCTTGCCATCTTTTCTCGGCATGACGTCCTTTTCTAATATGGCAAACTTAAAATATGCAGATGACCAGACAAGAACGGCAGCACGGCCTGCTGCCTTTCATATTTACTTGTTCTCTTATACAAAATTCTGGTACTTATCTCTCATCTGGGTATCAAGAAATATATCAGCTGGGATTATTTACTTTATGAGCTTTTTTCTCCCCCAGCCCACCATGGGCGCTTTCTTTCTTTCTTCTGCCGTTATCATTCTTCTCATAGCCATCTTCATTTCAACCCCTTTTGTTCTAGCTCTGGTTGGAGCATTAACTATGGTTCTGATAATATTTACAGCTTCATTCTTATTCCTTCATGTAACAGAATTGATCTCGAAGGACAAACGGCCTCCCGTTGCTGGTCTAGTGTTACATATGCTGGTGCGCTTTAATAGACTTTTTGATTACCTAACATCCCTTGCCAAGAAGCACAGCACTTACCGACTGATCATGCCCTTTCATAGCGAGATTTATACTGCTGATCCAGTTAATATCGAATATATACTAAGAACCAACTTCCCTAATTATGGAAGGGTATAAATCTTCTGCGTTATCCTTTTAAGTTTTATTATCTTTCTTTCGATGAGCATGTGAAATTTTGGTGTCGTGGCAATACAGGGTGCCCATACCGAGATAATGAGGGATCTCTTTGGTGATGGTATCTTTGCAGTAGATGGAGAGAAATGGCGCCATCAACGGAAGCTTGCAAGCTATGAATTTTCAACCAAAGTTTTAAGAGAATATAGTACTTCTGTATTTCAGGATAATGCTGCAAAATTGGTTTCAAAAGTTTCCCTTATGGCAGTAGCTAATCATGCTATGAATTTGCAGGTTCCTGATCTCCTGTAACTTTAGTACACTACAAACTTTGGTAAAATTAACCCTTTTAAATGAATTTGCAGGCATTTAGATCACGCATTTACCTGGCACAAGAGAATTTAGATAATGATCATTCTTGAGATACCTGGTTCTTTTGTAGTCTCTTGGGGATGGAAAAAGACTTTTAATTGGAGACTAAGTTTTAGCATTAGATTTTGTTTAATCCTTTATCTTGTGAAAAAAAGGGTGAAAAAGATATGGGGAAGGAAAAAGAAAATGTAAAGCATGTGATTAGAAAAAACATTAAGGGGTTTTAGCAGTTGTTTTTCCTTGGTGTTAGTCACAGCATAAGGATTCAATCTGCAATTGACTTTTCCTTCTGCTACTTTCTTAAATTTTACATTATTTGCAGGATATTTTTATGAAATCAACTTTAGATTCAATTTTCAAGGTGGGATTTGGAGTTGACTTGAATGCATTATCTGGCTCTGATGAGTTTGGAAACCGATTCACCAAGGCTTTTGACGACTCCAATGTTATCGTATATTGGAGATATGTTGATTTGTTTTGGAAAGTTAAAAGGTTCCTTAATATAGGATTGGAAGCTGCTCTTAAAAGAAATGTCAAAATCATTGACGAGTTCATTTTTGAATTGATTCAGTGCAAGAGAGAGCAGATGAAAAAGGAAAAGCTTGTGGTAAGTGAATTCCACCATTAATTAATATTTATGAAACTTTTGCTTCTTTTTTTTCTTAAGTTTTATTTTTATAGGCAGAAACTTTTGTTTCGTGAGTATTTTAAATTGTGAATTGTTTCCCAATGGGCAGAGAGAGAAGGAAGATATATTGTCAAGGTTTTTGATGGAGAGCGAGAGGGATCCTGAAAACATGACTGATCAATATTTGAGAGATATAATTCTGAACTTCATGATAGCTGGCAAAGATTCATTAGCAAACACACTCACTTGGTTCTTTTACATGCTTTGCAAACATCCTCTTGTTCAGGGGAAAGTTGTTCAGGAAGTCAAAGAAGCAACTCAAGCTAAGGATTACATGTGTGCAGATGAATTTTCAAGGTTGTTGACAGAGGAAGCTCTAGAACAAATGCAGTATCTTCACGCGGCACTAACTGAAACTCTTCGACTGTATCCAGCTGTTCCTGTGGTAATATTTGGTTTCTCTTTCTAATTTCTGTGGACCATGTAACTTGATTTTATTTTTCAGTAAAGCTCATTGTGACATGGTGAAGCCATCACTGATTATTTATTTTCTCAGAGACGTTAGCTCAATGCTGCTTTTATCACTATAATAATGTGCTTGAAAGAAACAGTACTCTACAACTCCTTTTTCCCTGTAAATTAAAAAAAAAAAAATCATCTGCTCTATTCCTGATGCAGGATGGAAAGAATGCAGCAGAGAATGATGTTCTTCCTGATGGTTTTAAAGTGAAGAAAGGAGATGGGGTAAGTTACATGGCTTATGCCATGGGAAGAATGACATATGTTTGGGGAGAGGATGCTGATGAATATCGCCCTGAAAGATGGCTTGATAATGGCAATTTTCGACCAGATAGTCCTTTCAAGTTCACCGCATTTCAGGTACATTTTTGCTCTAACCTTTCAGTAGGAGGATTTCTTGATATTCTCAATTTGATTTAATTGAACTGTGATTTATCATCAGGCAGGGCCTCGCATCTGCCTGGGGAAGGAATTTGCGTACAGGCAAATGAAAATATTGGCTGCTGTTCTCCTCCATTTCTTCCAATTCAGGCTCGTGGACGAGACCAAGGAGGCTACATATCGAACTATGTTCACCCTTCACATGGCTGAAGGGCTCTATGTATATGCATTTCCCAGGGCGTAACGTAACTGTGAACTGAAAAACGTTTGGTTGGCAATTTTTCGTGGCTTTTCTTTGCCAAGTATACCTCCTTTATTATTATTATTTTTTTCTGAATTACTTTTCCAATTATACTTTTGTTTTGCAGTAAACCATCTAAGCTTCATATGTAAGAATATTTCAATAAACTTTTGTACATTGCTAAAAAAAAAAAAAACTGAAACATTAAATATTTCACATGGAGACAGGTGACCTTATGGACTATGGTTAGATATTTTATTAAATAGATCAATCGTCTTATTGAAGAAATTACAAGACTTGCAAAATATTCACATGGAACTGAAAAATTTATTGCATTTATAACAACTAAGCTTTGCTGGTCGACGTCACTTTGGTTTAAAGCTATTAGTATTAGGCTATAGGTCACATCTACGGTCATAACCCATCCTTTCCCTATCCCTATCAAAGCATGTCTCTTTAAGCGACGAATTCAAAATTTTAACTACCTTATTTTTTATAATATATTTTATGGAAGACTCTACATTCATTATCCCTGAATTTTAAATTGTATATAGTTTTTATCTTCAATTTTTAAATTGTAATTTTTTTTTTTTACTATATTGTAAGGATCATGATTATTAATTCTCACGTTAAATATCAGTTGATAGCTAACATGTTTGATAGACAATTTTTTTCTCACCTCACAAGCCAACCAACTGATATTGACGAGGATGATCGAGTTTGATTGATTTCGATACCATTATCATTGAAGTCAAATATGTTTTTATCATAGCTGATTTGACAAAAAAAAATTTACTAATTTTTTTTATTTTTTAACTTTTCGTAACATTTAAATATTTAATTCAACGTATAATTCATTTTCGCATACTTTTTTAAATAAAAAATGGCGTGAAGTCATGATTATTTTGGAACTGAAAATAAAGTAGTGCAATATAAAAGTAAGATGGGAGAATTGAAAAAATACAGTTGAAAAAGTTTACGTACTCGATCAAACAAAGGCTTTTAAAGAACGCAAGCAGACAAATTAAATCCAAAGGAAGTAGCAAACGCACTGATACGACAACACTTATCAAATGTTCTCGTATTGTCATATCAGGTGACAGAAGCATTTCACTTTTAAAAATAATATATAGTATAATTAGTTATGTAGGCACTAATTTTATCTTATTTTATTTTAATTTAATTATAATAATAATAATAATAATAATAATTATTATTATTATTATTATCATCATCATTATCATTAATTAATCTTAAAAAAAAAGGGTAATATTTTTTTTCAACTATAGTAATTGAAATTAAGTTACCAGAATGATTCATTTTTTTTTTTGCTGATATTACTTAATTTGATAGCATGAAATTTGACGAGTAAAAGTCATCGGATTTATCCAAAAATTTTTAAAAGATTTGATATTTGAATCTTAAAAATTCTATAAATAAAATTAATTTTTACAAAAACATGAAAAAAAAAGAGTATTGTAAAAAAAGAAAGGAGAACTAAAAAAAAGGACACAAAAGGAAGCCTTAGGGCTTTATAAAAAAAAAATACAGTCCTCTTTGATAAAGAATTGGCAGTAAACACAAAAAAAATTAGAAACAAAAAAGACTCCCTAAATTCTTGATCTACGAGATTTGAGATTTTTTAAAAAAAAAATTTGGTTTTGAGAGAATGTTTAGAAAACAAAAAAGATCAATTTGATATTTTTTTTAAATTTTTAAAAAATTTTTTTAGTCATTGGATTTTAAAAATTTTTAATTTTCGATGACTTTTGAAGTTTTCAACGACCAAAATCTAGAAAAAAAATTGGAATCTAAAAGTTATTTGAATTTACAGGCCTCATTTGAAATTTTTGGCGATGGCATGGCTGTGACTGGTTGGAAATTAGGTATTGTAAGTGGTCGACAAAAGGGATTTTGAGTTTTAGAGAGAAGAGCTCTAAAGGTAAAGAGAGATGGAAGAAAGAAAAAAAATAAAAAAAAATGGCCTATTTATAGGCCTACAAAATGACATTGTTTTGAGCGTCTGACTCACGCTCAACTTGCACAGGATCTATGTGTCAACTCACGCTTTGATCAGATCCGTTTGTAAGTTTTTTTATTTTATTTTATTTTTATTTTTGTTATTTATTTAAGATTTTTATAATTTATAATAAATAATATATATTTTTATATTAAAAATAAATAACTATTAGTAACAATAAACAATAAAAAAACAAATCCTAAGATTTAATTAAAAAATAAAAAGGATAAACAAAATAATAATAATAACTATTTAAGGAAAATAAAATTTTATTACAAGCAAAAATATTATTTAAATTTAACTAAAGTGTTGAGATAATTTTAAAAAATAATTTTTGCTAAAAATAATAATAAAATTATAAATAAATAAATAAAATAAAAAATGATAAATTGTTTAAAGGAATCTTTTAAATGTAATTTTTAGAGAAAAATGAAAAAGTTTAGTTTTTTTTAATTATTACAAGTAAAAATAATTTTTCGGATTTCACCATAGAATGGAATAATCCAAAATTAATTTTACTATAATAAAGATTTATTTAAACAATATAAAAAACAAAAAATAAAAATAAAATAATAATAATTGATATTTTGAATAAATCTTTAAAAAAATTTAATTTCTTAAAAAAAATTGAAAGAATTTGATTTCTTTAATACAAGTAAGAGATTAATATTTTTAGATTTTGCCCATGAGTTGAAATAATCTAAAATTTTGTTAAAAAAAGAAATAATAATAAATACTAAATGATAACAACAAAATAATAAAAATAATCACAATAAAATTTAATTAATTAATTAAATTCCTTAATTATCGTCAAAAAATAATTTTTTTTATTTATGATCTCATCAAAAAGTTAAGATGATCTTAAAACTTGTTTAAAATTTTTATGATTTCGTTGAAGAGTCGGGATAATTTTGAAATTTATTTAATAAATTTTGAAAACTCACCAAAGAATCGAGATCTATATAAAATTATTTTATTAAATAAATAAAATATCTTATGACGAGATTTTGATAATTTTATGAATGATCAATTTTTTCAAAATATTTTTTAAATATAGATTTTTTATAAATTATGTCAAAGTGTTGAAGAATTTTATAGAATGCGAAAATAATTATAATAGTGTTAATTTCACAACAAAAAAATATTTGTTTCATAAATAAATTTTAAGAAATTAAATTTAAATATAAAAATATTACATCATCAAAATTAAAGAATTACACATATTTAATTGTACCATTTATCGAACGAGCGACGTAAGGGTGCTAATACCTTCCTCACTTGTAATTTTACTCTCGAACTTAACTTTGATTTCATAGACCTAAATTTTTTTTTTTAGTAAATCTCAATTAATTTAAAGATTTTTATTAAAAGAAATTTTGAGTGATCAATTACACTTTAAAAAAAGATTGATGATGATTTCAAAATTTTTTTTAAGTCTAGCAATTGAGTTTTCTATGAACAAAAAATCGTTATGACAAGTTAATTATAATTTAAAATTATATGAATTCATTAAAATTTTATGTGAGTTTTATATTTATAAGTGAAGAAATTTTATATAAAATTTTATTGTAAATTGATAATTATTAAAAATATAAAGAAAAAAAAATTATAAATGATATGCTTATATTTCAATCATAAGAAAGAAAAAAAAAATTAAAAAAAAAACAACGACAGTGGAGTTTGGGATCAATGGACTCCCCAATGGGCTTATTATTTATAAGGTGATGTCCCCTTAATTAAAGAGATGCATGTTTGTACTACAATTTCAGAGAACTTGTTATTGATTCAACAAAATTATGATATTGTTTAATTTGAGCTCATACTTATTCATTTTGGAATACTTGGATATTTTCAATTGAAACTAGCAAAGTTCAAGAAGCTAAAAACTAATATTTTCTCCATTTCGAATATAATATTTAATTATGATTTTATATAAAGTTTTAAAAAAATTTAAGTAAAATTTTGATTTTTATTATAAATTTTATTTACAAAATTATCGTCGACTTAAAAAAAGTGAGACGTGCGTGGTTGTACTTATGAATAGTATATTGATAAAAAAAAAAAAAGGAGAATGATTTTTTAATTTTTCAAAAGAGATATCATTTTGAAGCAACTAAAAGATATGCAAATCAAAGTAGTACTTGCCAGCCCAGCAGTGACAACCTCTCTGTCTGAGCTGTGAGATTCTTTTATCGAAATACACTAATAACTTCAAAAACACTGGATCTGCAAATCTACTTGTGTTCCAAAAAATATCAGTAAAAGAAATTTCTTGGCACACAGTTTATGGTTACTAAATTATTTTTATAGGTACCACATGAATATTCTTAGTTTAAAAATTAGAGAAAGAAAGAATTAATTACAAACTTCAACAATTAAAAAAAATACCTGCAGCAGCATGCTTTATTATTATTATTTTTAAAAGAAGCAGCATGCTTTATTAATACTTTTAAAATAAGCTAAAACATTAAATTTGATAATTTATATATTTATATTATATAAAATATTTAAATTTATATATTTATTTTATATTTTTTATAAAAATTATATGTTATTATTTATATAAACATGAAAATATTAAATATATTTTTTAATTTTATTAAATTTATATATAATAATTATTAAAATTTTAATTTCGTATTTTTTTCATATGATATTTATATCATATCACTTTATCATATTTTAAATTATTAAATTTACTGAAAATATAATAAAAAAAATGATAACTCCATTTGGTTTTGTAACTATGGATGTTGTACATGATTAAATCCCTTTTGGTTGGTGCTGAATATTTTCAGATCAAACAATTAGTAAAAATAATAGGGTCGATATGATTCTTTTTATTGATTATTGCCATTTTTAAAACTATTTTTAAGCCATTATTAGTGGACCTGCATGTGTTGCTGCCCCATCCACCAAGACCCCCAACCTGGAAGATCGGAATTAGCAAATCATTCTTTAAACAAAATCCACGTTTAAACAATTACATTAAGAAAAGAAAGATGTAGAGACTTCCAAGGATCCTGGTAGTGCCAGCCAAAGTTTAAATAGATTTTTTCTTTTGACACTTCAAACTTGAGCCGATAATCCTTTTATTGCTATTATTAATAATAATTGGTAGTAGAGCAGTTTGTGATATGAATACAAAGAGATTGCATATATGGCTATTTGCCTTTATGCCTTTAGCAATGAAGACAAAGAGATCAAACAGAAAAACATGGGCCTGAAAAATATGCAAAAGGCAAAAAGCAATCTGCTGAAAGCTTAAAAAGCAACCTTTTAATTCAATCAATGCTCCAGGCCGAAAAAGAAATTAATAATAAATGACTGCTAGTTTGGGTTCCAATATGGGTCAAAATGCAAACCAACGGAAGAGATCAAAGGCAATCCCCTTGATTCCTTAATTATGATCCTCACATCCCGACCGTGAACCTCATCAAGCCTGTGAAGCCTCTTATATCCCACTGTTGTCCCTTCCACTAGTTTCTTGCCATCTACATAAATTTCATGCCTTATGATCCTTTGACCAAGCCCAATGGCTTCTTGAATTCTGACCACATTGAATGTCAGCCCTCCATTTGGTACTCCCATTTCAATCCAATGTTCCTTTTTGTCACCATCATCTCTTGGTGCCCAATATGTCCACAGATGATCACTATCTAACGCATTCTCGGGACCAAAACCACCCCCCTTTCCCCCTCTTTGGCTACTAGCTTTTATGAAACATTTCTCTGCTAAATTGGTAGAAAATATTGTGTCAATTGCACTTCTAAATTCTTTTAATCTCTGAACATCTGCTTCAGATATAAGCCCTGTTGAATTGGGTGGTACATTAAGTAACATCACACAATTTCTTCCTACTGAATTGTAGTATATCTCTAAAAGCTCGCTTAACTTCTTTGGTGACTGTGATTTATGCCAAAACCATCCTTTTCTGATTGAAACATCACATTCTGCGGGCAACCAATTGGTCCCTTTTGGATCACCCGTATTGAGATAACTGCATTATTGAAACAAAGAAGCTGTTAGCTGGGAAGTTAATAGTTCGCATGGATGACATAAAGAAGCTGTTAGTTGGGAAGTTAATAGTTCGCATGGATAACTTTATTTGATACAAAAGTGTAATCTAATGGGATACAGATGCTAATCAAAGTTGTTTGGTAAACCGCAAGAACATTTACTTTTGACACTTGAATAATTTATATTCACATCTTGTTGTTATTAATTTCTTACGTGCAATATTATTCCCTTTAGAGTTCGAAGTGTTTTATAAACTCCAACAACATTTGTATAACTTACTCAATAATGCTTGCATTTCCGATTGACAGCGAGGTACTATTGATGGTAGACCAGCTCGTGTTGCCGGCAACTCCTTGCTCATTTCCCACCCATCTCACATCGGGACCAGCGTCCGAAAAAATATTGATTGAACTCTGCAACTCTCTCACCATTGCAAACCAATCTGTGAAGTAGTAGGACATGTTCTTCGCATTTTTACCCTTTGCCCCATCAAACCATATCTCCTTCACCCTCCCATATCTGGCAAAATGCATGTGAAAACACACGAAATTCATCAAGTGCATTAATAATGAGAAATTTAATTAAAGATCATTACGGCTACAACTGATGGGAACAAAAAAAAAAGAAACTTCATTAAAAATATTTTCCTTCTTATGGTTTTGGAATTTTTGTGAAGAATAAAGGAAATATTAACAAAGTAAAACAATTTTGTTTTTGATCTTACTTGTTAAGCAGCTCTTGCAACTGAGCTAAGTAGTATTCATTGTACTGCAAATCATGTCCATATCTTTGATCATGGCGATCCCATGGTGACAGGTATAATCCAGCATCGATGCCGCCATGAGCTTTGACTGCAGTCACAAACTCTTGCACAACATCCCCATGGCCATTTTTCCAAGGACTAGATGCAACAGAATGATCAGTATATTTAGAAGGCCACAAGCAAAATCCATCATGGTGTTTTGCAGTGAGGATCATGAGAGAAATCCCTGCTTCTGCAGCAGCGGTAACCCATTGGTTGGCATTGAGACCAACAGGGTTGAATATGGCTGGGTTTTCTTTCCCGGTGCCCCATTCGGAGTCCGTGAATGTGTTGACACCAAAGTGAAGGAACATTATGAGCTCTCTTTGTTGCCATTTCAATTGAGAAAATGTTGGGAGTGGTAGGACTGGAAGCGGTGGTGTTGGAACCCGTTCAGGCCGAGAAATGGCCAATTGTGACAGTTGAAGTATTGTGATTATCCATAAAGAACACCAAAACTTAGCCATAAAGCTTACGGCTCCTTTTTGCCTTTCCCTCCCTAGCTACTTGCTATAATCTAATATGTTAATAATGAAGAGATAGATAAAAGGCTTAGATGATGAGGGAATAGGACCAAACGAAAAAACAAGGTGTGGGAGATTGACAAATAAAAGAGAAAAAAAAGTGAAAGTAACTAAGCTTTTTGATTCGAATTTGTTTGTTTCTTCTATGATGAGGCTTCTTTATAATTGTAGGAGTGAATTGTTGACACTGGACAGCAGTCACGGACTGTATTCGCCTTTTCATTTCAGGTCGTGTGCGGTTTGAGCAAATACTGGTAGATGCAGGGGACAGCAAAAGTTGGTGTAAACCGACAAAAAAACCGACAATTAAACTAAATCGGATTTTATTTTTTGGGTTTAAGAAATTAAATCGATTTTATATTCGGTTTAAATGGGTTATTCAATCGATTTACAGTTTGAATTTTATAAATCAAATTGATTGAAAAATTTGAAATTTAATAATTAAATATTTAATAAAAATATTACTTTATATTTGAATTATTTTGATTTTTCAGTCAGTTAATTACCTATTTAACTTTATCCAATGCTCATTACGAACATTAAAATCTAAATCTTAAATTTTTTCTTTTTCTCTCTTACATGTATTTTGACATTTCCAAGTATCCATTTGAAGAAGAGGAAAAGGAAGATAAAAAATATTTACATGAAATTTCATAATTGAAATTTATGAAGTTTTTTTTTTTTTATCATAAATAAATAAATAAAAAATAAAAATCGATAAATTAAAAGATTTTATCACGTAAATTAAACATATAAAATTTAATAAATTTTTAATAAATTTTGATATATTTATTAAATAGACCTTTTAATAAATATATTAATAATTTTTTTTACGTATTATTAATTTTTATATTAAACTCTATTAATCTATTAATTTAAATTTTTTATTTATTATTTTTAATAAAAAATTTTATAAATTTTACCTATAAAATTTTATGTAAATTTTGTTCAAAGAAAGATGAGGAGTAGTAGCAATGGCAGCGACAACCAAGAGTCTTGTTGTTTCAGCTAGCAATCACTCATTTTGTTTGCAGGCCACTAATGGATTTTCAATTTTGAAATCAAAGGGGTACAAATTGGGTCTGCGAGCTACTTTGATAGAAGCCAAACCTGAAGTCAATGGTTCATCAGTGGGGATACAAGTATTGGGAGGGGACCAGCTAGCGGAGGGGCTACAGGTGGAGGCCAGAGCCGTGGCTACAACTTGAACTTCTTGCGCACAAGTATAGGTCACGACTCGTCCAGATGATATCCGTTTTGATTATGACAAAATTGTTATAACTTGCAAGAAATGGAATTCGGTAGAGTTTCGAATTTTGCTGATAACAAAATTGTTATGATTAGGTAGTGAATAGGAATTAGAAAATCTTGATAGCTTTGGGTTCCTTTGCTCTGAAACTATTGTTGGAGCAAAGTTATGATTAGGTAGTGAATATGAAACCGACAAAATTCTAAATAAATTGAATTAAGCCGATTCAATTAATTTTAATTTTAATTTATTTTAATCATTTAAAATTTTCAAAGATTAAATTAATTTAATTGATTTTTTAGATTTTTAAAATCAAATTTCTCGAAGTACCATTTGTTCTACCCTAAGTAGGTGTTTGCTTTAATTCATTTCAGGTCGCGTGAAGTTTGTCATTAAACTTTCAATAAATCTCATTTTTATCACCAAATTTTAATTTGTCTAAATCGGTAATTAAACCTTATTAATTATATCAAATTTAATCATTATAATATATTTTTACCAATCAAAATGATTGAAAAACGTGATTGTCACATAAAGTTACTGTGTAAATTATCGCACTAATTAAGATCACAAATCTTAGGTTTTTCGGCGTCTTTTTAATCTTAGAATCAAAATTATATACACGTTAGTTAGAAGATAAAATGGAAAAAGAAAAAGAAACAAAAAAAAAAATGTGAATTTGGATAGAGCTGCATGCAGCAATCATGTCATTTTTGATTCAGTTGGTTGAGACATATGTTAGGTATAGTCGGCAAATTTCAGTGACTTATTTGAGACAAATTAAAGCTCAATAAGCAAAGTAAAGATTGCGTGAAAGTTTAAATTGAATATCATGTAAATTTTTTTAGAAATTTTTAGAAAAGAATGAAAAGAAAAGGAAAATTAAAGCGGCGTTGGTGTTGGTGTTGGAGTTGTCGGCAGCGCTTTTAAATTCTATAGATCAGGCTTAATAATCAGATTGAAACTGAACCCATTGTCATCTTCCAAAACCGTCCAAAAGCAAGCGCTGTTGGGTTAATATATTTATAGACTGTACTCTAGCTTAAGATTAGTTTTCGTTAAAGATACAGTCATATAGCCCATCTTAATTTCATGAAGATGGAAGATGGCTTAAGGCTCAATGAGAAACTATACCCTCGTCGGCCTCATAAACATTCTAGTGATGGGTTGAATCTTGGGCCTGTATTTGTACTTGATCCAACATTTTGAAAGGTTGCTCCCTTCAGAATTATCACGGTGATTGGCGCTGACCTAAATTACAATGTGTTCATCTGATTCTTAAATATATATATATATATATATTAGAATCATAATTTTAATTTAAAATTTTAAAAATATATAAAAAATATATTAAATAAATGAATTTTTACTCATATATATTTATTTTCTAATGCATTATTTGTGTGTGTATATTATAGTTATATTTCAGTAGTCATAACAAATAAAGATGAACAATAACCTATCATGAGATTTTTCCTCTTGCGGGTATCATTTTCTTTAAACGTACGTGACTTACAAGAAGTTTCGATAGGGTTAACCTTATCGATTTGAAACCAAATTAAATTCGGGATGGTTATTGGAAACGCCTTGACTATTATTTTTAGAAAAGAGATTAATTTATATTAATGTAAAATTAAAAATTTTATTTTCTAAATAATTAATTTTAATAGATTTAAGATATTTAATCTCATCCCTTAAATTCATTAAAAATAATTATTAAAAAATATGTAAAATTTTTAATTTTATGGTAATATAAATTGATCCATCCTTTATTTTTTATTTATTGTCATGTATAGTAATATAAATTTATAGTATTTGATATACTAGTAGTATAAATTTTTACAAGTGATATTAAGAGATTGACACATGTTTTGTTTTTATTTTTAATTAATTTTAAAATTTTTTAAAATATATCTTAAGATATTTGTCATTTTCTTAATCTCACTTATAAAATTTAAAAACTTTACTATACTGAAGCATTGGTTGTATATTTTTAGATTTTGTGCCTAAAAGTGATTTCAAGAAAACTAATATTGAAGGAAAATATGTAATTTTTGAGTTTTGTTCACCTCAGGGAATATAAAATTTTTATATTTGATAAACATAAAAATATAAAAATAACATGTTTATTTAATATTTTATTAATTTAATTGTAAATTTTTTATATATGTAGTTTAATATTTCAAAAATTAATAATTTATTTATTTATTTAAAAAATAAAACTTATTAAAATCAAGTGTACTCTTAATCTTCGGTGATGAAAAATTATTAAAATCAAGAGCAATCGGAGTTGGTATTAATAAGGCTTCATTTGCATATAAACGCAGGCACTATATAGTGAGATTTGGGATAAATCAACACAAGAAGATGTTTGGCAAACTTGCCAACAGCACGATGGAGCATTTTAATCACACCATTCCCCTCAATCCGCACTGAAGCATAACATGTCCAGTGGCTTACTGTGATGCTCATGGACAATATTGCGCTCATTGTTTATTTTTTACTTCTTATTTTACCCTATACTTACATGACTATAATAGCTTTATTACATCTAAATTTACATTTATTTTTGTTCTTTTGTTTTCTTTTTTACTTTGATTTTTATATATAAAAATAATTTTAATAAAATTTAATTATTTGTTAATTTTACAAATATTAAATATATAATATAATTCAATTAAACACAAATTTTAATTTGACATAGTTGATGATCATTTTCTTTTTTTATTACACTCACTATTATTTTTGCATCCAAATATATATATCTAATCGTTGATTTTAATCTTAGTACTATAATATGTAGTTTTACTACTATAATAACTAATCTTATCACTATCGTTTTTTTTAATCTTACCAAAACTAATCTTATTGCCCATCTAAATGGATCCTAACTCAAAATCTTCAAGTAGTTGACAACTAATGGCACTGTTTGTTGTAAACACCTTATTTCGTCCTAGATTATTTGGGTATTGGACCTAATCAATTTGGTTCATTGTTATATTTATTTATTGTTGTTGTTATTATTCTGGAAATAAAAAAAAAGGATAAAACAAGTGATAAAATTTGGTGTTTGAAATTCATAGTTTGGATTAAATCTTAGAAATTCAGTGTTTCTTAAAATCAAAATTCAAATTGAAAATGATAGGATGCTCGATTTTTTTAATTGAAATATTATCTTCATTATGTTATATAAACCATTGTTTAAGGGAAGAATAAAAAAACATAGTGAAAAATACAAGACAAAAACACAAGTAAAACCCAGAGGTATTAGAGTGAAAAATACAGAGAAAAATCAAACAATTACTAGTAACACCACCCTATTTTCATTCTTTTCTCCACCATACTGCCATCACCATTACAAGCACCACACAAGTTTTTAATCTACTACAGCATTGTGAAACAGTCCATCCTTTAGCTACAACCATAAAGTCTTTCGTGCATGATTGTCATCCCTAAACACAATATTTAATAACCCCAATCCATAACCCACTTTCTCCAATAATCAACACAGCACATTCAAATAGAGAGAAAATCATAGAAAAGAATCTAGTAGAAAACAGAGGGAAAAATAAAGCCACCGACCAAAAATCCATCACCACCAAATTGCCTAACCTTACCACTACTAAAATTTTCATTAACGGTAGCCCAATCACTCACTAGCAAAAATCGAGTCAAGACCCAAAACTCAGAATAC